GACCACGATTGCTTCGAGTAGGTATGTTCGCGCAAGTGAATTATCGTTGACACTCTCTAGGTTATTACTTTGTACGCACGGCTAAAGATCTGTGCACAAAGCAGTTCTGAAACGATATATCATTTCTCGAAAATCGTAAAAGTCACATTAAGCGGTACGAGTTGGGGAAATATAATACGAAGCGTATTTCTTGTGTGATCGCGGATGAAAAAGTGATTGCAACTGTATTTCGAAGAAAGTAGTATACATATAAGAGGATAATATTTTACACGTTGTTCGTTAAATGTTCGATATCTTCTTGGTACAGAACAAACAGATATTATCTACACGATATATGATGGAAAATAGGTACTTGAGGACAAGGATGTGAAACATATTAGGTGTACCAATAAATAATCCACCTTTTTTTGTTATAAGGCGATGTACTGTAACTAAAACCTATCTGTCCGACTATTTGTTGTGTAAAAGGTAAATTGTCGGTTGTTCAAGTATCAAATTTTGATGAAAATAATTTTGATAAACTTTTAAAAAAATAAATCATACTTTTGTATTAATTGACCCCTTCTGTTAAATCAGATCGTTATATAGTTAGTGTGTTTATCTCTTTGGTTTTCTTAAACCTTTCCCATGTTAGAAAGACTCATCTTGGTCCTGCATTCCTCTTTATAAACATTCAACAAGTGGGAACGGGACCATTGACTACAGGAACTTCTCAGTTCCCAACTGTTCCTTTTAAAATCGATCGAACTGCATAAGTATTTTCCCTCCGACCGGGACCGAGGCAAACTTCGGTGTTTAGTTTGCCGCGATTAAACGAGAATTCTTTAGCTGTTTCGCCTCGTGCGGGTGGAACTCAATCGCGGATCCACAAGCTACGAATCAATTCCGAGAACTTCTTACTACAAGACCTTAACGATAAAATAAACTACAATTTTATATAATGTCCTAAACAGAAATGGGCAAATTCATTATCTAAATAAAGAGTTTCGAACAACGAATAAAAGATAAAAAAAAAAAAAAGTACTTCGTCATTTTTAATCGTTTAAACGTGGAAACTCCAATGTTTATAAGAAAATAATATTTCTTCCTGAATGACTCGACAATTTGGCAGACAATTATTTAATCTTATTAACTGTTGAAAGCTCAGTATCATGCCCTTAGATACTGCAGCTATTCACTATGTATTATTCCAATAAAATTGTGCCCAACTCTGGTACTAAATTATATTCTCGACTAATTTCGCAAAGAAAAGAAACAGAAGAGAAAAAAGAATTCAGAGAAAGGTCCACAGAATGGTGCTTTCTTAGAGTGGTTTCTTTCGGAGCTGGTTCTTCCACCGGGAAGAAAAATAGAGCGAGTGTAATTGTTACGAACAATTAAATTAAACGGCAAAAAAGAGAATCGAGTCCTGGTACCTCTCGCGCAAGCGGACTGGTAATTAAAAGTGAGGCCATTAATTCGGCTTACCATGGTCCCGGGACTACGTTTCAAATTGTTTACAAACTAAAACGGCACGTCGGTGAAGGTTTTAAATGTTCGTAATTACCGGCAGCCGGTGTCGAGTCGGCCCTCGGTCCAGGAAATTAGGAAACTAACGCGACAAACGGAGCAATAAATATGAAACGCAACGAATCGATCTCGTGCCGGAAAAAAAAACTGTGACTGACCGAGCGTTTCCATGCAACTCTTTTTTTTTCCCCCGTTTTCATATTGTATCCTGATTTTTGCATGCGGCGAAACGAACCGGGTAATCTGTGGAACAGAGAAACTAAAAATTTCTAATCCGGATCACGCGTGTCCAGAATGAGATCGAACGCCGAGAATTGGATCCGAAACGGCGGCCATCGCGAAATGAACCCGCCCCCAACATTTTTCCATTCGATTTTTCAACCCAGCTTTTCCCTGTGTCCATCCCCCATTCTCCTTTTTTTTTTTCACGCGCACGCGGGAAACATTCATACGGGAAATTCGCGTTTCGAGACACGTCTCGCTGTTTATTTTCTGCGTAAATATAATATTTGACGTAAACATAATTTTGTTTTTTTTTTTCGTTTCGTTTTTATGAATTCGTGGGACAAGCATCGAATGTGTAATTCGATTCGCGGTCGGGAATATTTTCGCGTATGTTTCTTCTCGCGCGGAAAATATTTTTATTATAACTGTCAACGTATTCGGTAGTTCGTGAAAAGAGGTTTCGTTTGGTAATTGAAGAAAAAATCATATGTATAGAAAATTTACGTTGCACAGAAGGTTGATTCAGCTTTGATACTGGAGATTTTTCGTGAAAAATTACAATCATTAAAATAAGAAATTAAAGTATTCATCCCGTAAGTATGAGTTTTATTTTCAAACTATAGATATAAATGTTTATTTAATTTTTCATGCAATAATAATTGGATATACATTTTTCTCTATCCGAAGTCAAATTTAAAACAGCAATGTCTATAATATCAACTTCCTCTTCCAGAGACTTCTGAGAGGCTCAATCGTAAATTATAAATTTTCCTCTAGCCAAGAAAACTTCCTTGCGTTTTAAAATTCATCGAATTTATAATTCTCTACAATATTGCACGTGAAATCGTTAATACGAAAATAAGAAGAAATATCTGAACGAAAATCGTATAAAAATCGGTGAAAACAGGCTAAAAAATAAAATTGAAAATATAATTTAATGGCAAAAACAAAATTAAGCATTAGACGAAATAGTCTCAGGTCACGCGTGTTGCTTCGAAAAACAAATAACGCGTCCAATGACATTGAGAATGGACCCGGGGAAACAATGGAACCCCAAGCTGCATTGTGTTGCCCGCGACACGAACGCAGCCTGTATAAATATGTGTTTTGGATTCTCCTCCTTACTGCTTCCGTCGTCTCTTTGCATGTATCACCGTTCCAATGTAAACATAAGCTTTCACGGTCCCTCACGGTAAAAAAAGGCACAATCACCGTGAGTGAGAAGAGAGTCCCTTTCAAACGTCATAGTACAATGTATTTTCTTCATTCAGACGACTTTCATTTGATTACAGTCAAAATAAAGAAAGGGAAGTAGAACCTTTCAAATGTGGTTTTAGTGTAAAGCTACGAAACGATCCTATCGACCGTATATGGTCGGTATTTTTACAGTACAGAAAACTTTATGCTTTGGTTTTAGGACTGAATTTTATTTTCCGAACACGATTGTAAATACAGAGAATTACACAATTCTCTGTTTCGCTGATTTCTATGGTATTTATTTATGGGAATCGTAATAAAGTCAATTGTCAACAGTAGTATATTGTACTGATTTGTCTTTGACCATCTGCAATAGTATGCGGTTACCACTTACTTTTGATGGAAACGTAAATTTCGTTATTTTGTATTATAAATAATATTAAAATAAAATGATCGTTCAATAGATCATAAGTAATGTTAAATTAATGGCTTTATTAAATATATCGTAAACTCACGAAGAAAAGTCATAATTTATTACGCATTAATTTTTCCGCCATCTTGTTTCCAAATGCTTTTTAACGGTAAAAGGGCGAGAGGTATCGATTTGTGTAAAGACGGTATGTACATACACGTTTCCATTTGAAAAGAGTACAACCGTATAGTGCAGATGTATATACCAATGCACTTGCAGAAATGATTTTCCCTCAAATAAGAAATCAGATATACACAAACCGTTCACAATCCCCCTACCATTACTTTTTCCAATCAGAAAACCTTCTTAAAACTAAGAAAGACGTACAACCTGTCTCAGTTGCTTGGACCACCCTGCATATAGACATTTAGCTATCATTTAACAGGGACATATTAAACACATAATCAGTATCGAGTTTATGTAACGGTTTGCTGAAATTCAAATTTTTAATGGATATCAGACAAGTCCTACCTTGTACGATGATTGCGATTATCGTCACGGCGAACAGCAGGCCCAATGTCCCGTGGTTTCGTTGTCCCATCGTGTCCATTACGGGAAACACTTCACTACACAGTCAATTGTAGACGCGCAAAACGCCAGACGAGAGTCTGCCCGCAGCGAGCATCGTTCGGTGATCGAAATTAGTACCGGCCGAATCGGTAACGCGAACTAATTCAAGAACGAGTCAACCGCGCCGCATTCCCCGACTTTTTTCCCCCCCAAGCCCCAACGTCTGAACGTCAACTAGTAAAACAAAACACACGGCAACAAGTCACAAGCAACACAACACACGGTCCACGACAGTACCAAGAATCACGACCATTAAACGCGTTTACTGTTTACAAACGAAACGTTCGCGACCGACACGTCGAACAACACGAAAAACACGAGTGGGTCCGTTGCAGCGTGAAAAAACCGTTATGAATATTCCGCTTGCGTAACACCCTCTGATTGGTTCTTTCAAAATTGACGAATAGATTCCCGGAATACGTGGGAAACGCTCTGATTGGCGGTTCGAAAAATCCGAAACCGGGAAATACAAATGGCTCGCAATTATCGTTCGCACGATATTCGATCACATCAAAAACTGTCCACATTTACCTCCACGAAGTGTCTAGTTTTACAACAGTAACCGTTATCAAGGAAAATTTATTTATAAACGCGGAGTAGCATCAACACGTGTCCTACGGTGATAATGAGCAACTTGGTAAACAGTGTCTTCCACTGGACTGTTCAATGATACACTGATAATTTAACTCGTGATGTATTAACTCTAACAGTAATAACGCGTATTAATTACTTCACACAGTACATCGAAACACAAGATCACGTTTTAATCATGCGTGACAGGTCCTGTGTCTCACAACTGGACACCACCGTGCTAAGAAAGCGTAACAATATACCCTCACTGCTCGACGTATCGCGCGACACTGGCCAACCCTCGCGGTTGCATACACTATTCAAGCCACAGATGGCGTTGTAGTACGCGCAAACGTTGATAAACCGGGAGACGACGCCGACACCCGGCTTCCGCGGCCCGATTGCAACAAGTTGCAGCGCGTGGCTACGAGGAACTGCACGCTCCGAGGATGTGCATTCATTGAATGCAGTCGGCACGAACGTGGCTGGCATAACGAAGTGCAATCGACTGCGAGCCGCCTCCTTGTCGAACGCAGGTGTAATAAAATTAAAACGCCTGACGGCGACATCCGTGTCAAAGGGGTGTTGGTACCCTTGCCGGAGGAGGTGGAACTTTGATTGAAAGAAGCATGTTCTTATGAATTTTTACAGGTGAAAGCTGATTATAATAAACATTGATTTCAGAATAATTTTAGTTAAAACTTTCCACCAAATGAAAAGATAGTTCGTATTATATGTAAAAGCATGTAAATATTGAGGTGTTATTTCATTTTATCGATAAGAAATTCAACTATTGGTTAAAAAAGGGATAAAATGCTATGAATTGTGGGGGAAGGTTTTTCGAGTAAGGAATGCTAAAAAATTCTTGTATATTACAAATATTGATATTTGCAAAATTATCAATTTTACAGACTGTGCAAAAAGATTAAAAGGTGTAAAAAGAACAGTTAATGCATCTTTATTTCGAAGATTTTATTTATTATAACGTACGCAATAAGACTCTTGTTATCTTCGTTTGCCTGGGCTTTCTGTATGTGTGGTCGTTAACGATCCATCGGAGCTGTAGTAGACATTCTGAAAATTTAAATTGATGTATCATTATTTCTAATCCCTCCAAAACGACAATTAAAAAATTACAGTCACATACCCTGATGGGCACACGCTCCTTCCGAAAACTTGAATAAGTTGCTGAAACGGATTTGGTGAATTTCTGTTTTCTACGGTAATGAGAATACATTTATTAAAAACACACTTGAAACGAATATAACGACAAAACATATACATATCGAAATCGTTAATTTTGAACCATTATTGCAACTTCTCTCTATCAATACTCACTGATAACTTCTGCTACTATTGCTGACATCGACCGTGTCTTTGCTAGTGTAACTGATAGCGGCCAAACATCGTTCTTCATCGGTGAAAGGATCGTTCAAACTACCACGACATTTACTGAATTTTTTTTTCCAATATTCCCTGAACTTATTGACTATGTATTGACGGGGTGCTTGCGGGGTGCACATGTCATTCTGACAATATTCCTTATTCTCGTATAAAACGGCAACGCTAAAATGAAAAGTAATGTATTATTAAATATTTTTGAAATTTCAGAATTTAACCGTAAAACTTTTATTCCACAAGCAAATAAGGAGACGTGACGATTCTAGTAAGAGTACATTCATATAAAATAAAAAGAAATATTAATTACAAAGAAATCAATTGCTTAGATGCATAAAATCTAGAACATCATTATATTCTTATTGTGCCTCGAACAATCTGGGACCTTTTCCCAATGCCACGAACGCTTTGAAGCGAGAAGGCACACCTTAATCGTCACTTTCATTGCATTCCTATGCCACATATGCGTACGACTTAAACTATCATTAACTATTATCCTGTGGACTGGTTTAAAAATAATTGACACTCTTCGTGACGACCACAGCAAGGTCATCGGTCGTCATAGTGTTAACGTTCAGAAGCTTTTCGACCAAGTAAATTCACGAATAATCGAATGAAACGTACGGTGGTTGCTGCGGCTCGCAGGGACTGCACTCGTCCGAGTGTTTCGTGAGGAATCTATAGCACACCAGGCTCAGACCGACCAGCAACCACACCAGCAACGCGCTCACTACTGCAATCGATATCAATTCCGTCGTGCCCAACGTGAACCCGGCGTCACCGTCTAAATTCACGTGAAAGAAATTCGGGAGAACATTTAGAACATATTAGATTATATGAAAATTCGAACAAAATGTGCACCGCTTTCTCCTCCCATCACCTTTGTAAAGCGGTGACAGAGCATCCTCCGACTCGACGGTCGGTTGACCGCCTATTTTGGGCATCGTCTGATAGGCACCGCTTTTTCTCCACGTCGTAAGACCGGTTCCCACTCCTGAGACGGGAAAACGACGTCGACGAACGTTCGGAAAATTGTCCATTAGAGAAAGAGGGAAATAATGGTACCTGATTCCTCCAGCGTGGTGATCACCCTCAAAACGCCACCGAAACCTGGGTACCATTTCTCGTCATCGAGATGATGTTGAACCTGCGATGGTAACGACGTTTTAGTCGCAACATGGGCGATTGAACGGAATGAAAAATTAAGTCGTTACAATGTAATGCCTCGTTCGTTTAATTTCTATTGTTCCATTGCAAATATCTGCACGGAATTTAGGCTAGTGAATACGTAAATGAAAATTGCCACTTTCGATCACAGCGACTCACAACGTACGGATTGCTGCAGCCAGTTGAAAAGCTCCTGGTTGAACGTTTTCAGCTGCGTTCCCGAGTTCGACTTCGATTCTATGCACTTCACGCTGGCTATGTAATATTTCACCAAAACGAACGCCGATTGTTCGGTATGCAAGGACTGCAAACTGTTCTTCTTGAACGGCAACGCGATGCTAAATAGGCATTTCGTTTGTAATCGTGTTTACATTCGAAAATAATTGAAAAACATTCGCTACCTGTTCGGTTCCGTGTCATCGTCCAAAAATGGAAGAGGAATGGTAACGGAATTATCCCTCTTCGTAAGCTTGTCTTAAAGATAAATTAAAAAATCACCAAACATTTTAATTGTCCAATTTAACTATTAAAAATAGGTAGTAAACACTTAATCGTTCTTTCGATTTAATTCCAACAACTTCACCTCGCTTCTGATGTTTCGACGATTTATGCTTCGACGCGTGTCTCTTCGACTTCTTGAACGCGGAATGGTGAATCTCTCGATTGTTATTGTTCGCTGAAGCTACGGAAGAAAATAATGTTAATCGGTAACACAATATTTCGAGTATAATTATTCGCGAGAAATAATCACCTCCGTAGGTGATTAGGCCCTCGCACGCCGCGCCCGATCTCGGCGGTGTGATCACGATCGATGGGATTTTCGATTGCGTCTTCTCCTTGGAGGGTTTCAACCAACCAGCCCCGTTGCTTCGCAGGAAAATCTTCAGCTCCTCGTGCAGCTCGATGAGCTTCCGGGCGTTACGATATTTTATGTTCCCCGCGTAATAGGAGTGTCTGGTTAGAGGCAGGATGTAAACTTCCAAGTAGCCTCCCATAGTGTCCGCCAGAGCTTTCAGCATCAGGTGTTTCGTTTTTCCGATCGCCAGTTTACGCACGCTCTCCAAACAAATGTGAAAGTAATCCATCAGCAGAGCAATGTACCGATCGTCCTCGTAGTTCAAGGTTTTCACCTGGTGTGAGAATTTCTCGCGAATTAATCAAGAGGACGGACTGATGTTCTTTCGAACCCTCGGACCAATCTCGGATCGACTTCAACCGAGATTGCTAAGAGGTTTACGTAACTTTCCAGCTTATGATAACTAAATTATGTGAAGTTTATATTAAGCCTGACGAGAACACCGATGTGCCTCGAAGAGATACGTTAAGGGACTAATTGTAAGTGGATCGACACCTGTGCGGTCCTCAGAGGGATCGGCTTTCCGAGGGTTCAAGTAGGGGGATGGAAACCGTAATGTGTTTATTTTCTTCCGACTTATAGCCTGGACGATTGCTTGCTTTTAATATACATTAGTATAGAAATGTTACAGTCAAAACGTTTCTATAAATATGTTCGGAGAACGATCGAGAGAATAAAGTGTTAAACAATGTTTAACACTAACTTACCATTATTTATTTTATAATTGATGGATGGGGATTAGAAAAGTGTAATAACAGAGAGAAATGAACCATGACGAAACACATTCATTAAAAAAACTTATTGACTTTTAGTAGACAATAGTGGGTTAAATTAACGTTACCTTCGGTAGTAAATCTTGGAACATCCGTCTACTGTTTAACATAATAAATTCCTCCGTGGTCCAGCACTGCTTACCGGCGTCGCTTTTATCGAACAACACCGTGCCGACATTCTGTTCGTGTTTTAAATTGTTGACACCCATCACCCTAACGTAACAATGTAATATGCTTCGATAATAATGTTTTTTCTTTGTAAATTGAATAGCTAATAAATTCAATTTGTTTTAATAAAATTAATCAATTAAATCTTAGATGAATGAGAGAAATACGGGAATGACCTTGGCTTTGGCCGAGTACCTGTTTATTTCAATGAAAGCAGTTGTCGCAAAGAATAGAAGCAACCATAGAAGGCATGATCTCATACTCCAGACGGTGAATCCCGGAGCAATGCGACGTTTCCTTGCAAAATTCCGGAAAATTTACACCGATCTTTTAAACGTTTCCTAATCATTATCTCGTCACGACTCTCTCGAGTTTGTTATGCGACTGATTTCAGTTCAATGAATCATCATATACTCTGCGATTCCGTTGGCATGCGACAGGCATTATATATCATTATCCGAGGTTATGTTGCAATACTACCAAGTTTCCGTGAGGAAAAAATCTAGCTTTTATTCTTTTAAATCTCGTATGACAGCAAACCCAACTTCACCACATAAACAGCCAAACATTTTATACAAAACAGTTTATAAGCTTCGTCACACTTAAAACACAGTTAGAATCACACCTATGTCTTTTTGTAATTGCTATCAGATGGGGGTTAGGTTATTTTTACAATAATCATATTTACTTATTTTACATAACTTGTATTCTATGTGAACATAACGAGGGATATATAACGTGGAGAGCTTGCGGTTAACGAGGTCTTTCATCGTCAAGTTCGGACAATTCTCTCTATTATGTCGTCGGAAAAATGTCTTCGCTGATTCGCTATCTTGGAATGGACAATTATGTGTTCGGTGCTTTCATTTTACACAGGAATCGCAAATGTAACATCTTCACTTCGTCCTTGTTCAGTTTCACTACACCCTCCTGGTTGTCTATGGAGAGTAGCGTACCAACAGCTTCTCTGTCTTCCCCGATGATTACTTTTACACGGTCACCCCGTGACGGAACCACCGGTTCTAATTCTTCACACACCAGGTTCACGACTCTGTCTTCGACCGGAAGGAACACAGCGCACATGCCACCCTGTCATAGAATTAGAAATATCATATTAAAATACCGACGCAAACATTCAATCTATCAGTACTTATCAGACTTTTGATATACTAGTACAAATGAGGATTACAAAACATTACTTACGGATATTCCTCGAATAACGCCCTGTTGCCCAGCAAGAGCAGGATCCTGATGCGAATCCCGAATCCGAACCTCGATATCTGTAGTATGCCATTCGGTCCCTCCTATGATGCCAGACCCAACGCCAGTATCCAGACCTGCACCCGGTGTTTGTGGATTATACGGACTACCTGCAACTCCTATGATAAACCGATGTCAGAAATATTATCACGTAAATAGAGAAAGAACTAAAACGGGGAAAAATAGAACACTTACCTGGTGTCATTGGACTATAACCCATCGGTGAAGGGGTAGCGAACGCTCCATGTGGACTGGTAGTATACCCAGTACCACTCGGTGAAGGAGTAGCAACGTAGCCTGCAGGGCTGGGGCTAGCTGTCGCACTTCCAGCTGGACTAGGACTCGGTTGGTACGAGCTGAAACTTTGCTCCGAACCGTACATTGTCCCAGGTGTTTGTGGCGTGAATGGGCCACCAGTTGGGGGATATCCCGGCGCATAACCGGGAGATCCTCCCTCCTCCATGCTGTAACCGTCGAAGTCATTCGTCCTTGCGGGGGTATTAGTGACCGCCGGGTCCCAGGCACCTGACTGTCCTGGAGTACGTGAACCGTCGTGGGACGGTGTCATTGAGCCATAATGAGGAGTACGGGAACCATCTGTAAATTTAAGGTCATAACAATTATTTGTATGTGTTCCTTTCTGGACAATATGTACGATTTCATCATCCGTTTTTATAGAACCACTAATTCCGTTAGAATATGTTCAGGATACTTACTCTCGTACATAGGAGTCTGCGATCCATGCATAGGTGTTTTTGATCCATCCCTGGCATACATCGGTGTCTGGCCACCCGCGCCATAACCCGGTGTTCTGTTGTAACTACTGAAGCCGCCATCTTTAGTTGGCACACTGACATTCGCAATGTGGGATCTGTCTACAGAGATAGTTTGACAGGTCGAATGCAGTTCTACACGCGCAGTCGTCTCCGTGGCATCCTTAACAATTCCAACATTTCCTTTGTATGGTCCGCCAGTTATTTTGATGGTGGTACCTATCAATTCCCTGTCCCGACGGGCTCCTCCCCCACGACCTCTGCCTCTTCCCCCGCCACCCCCCCCTCTTCCAAAACCGCCACTGTAGGAAAAGCGATAGAGTTGAACATTCTTTTTATATACATATTAAAATATAATTAAATATAATGGAATAATACTAACCCACTAGGATGCATTGGCGATGCGATTCTCGGTGACATGAATCCTGCCACTGGAGACATAGAATTCATATTGGACTTATTTCCGCCGGAGAGTTGCAAGTGCCTCGTTTTACAGACGAATATTCCACCATTATCCACGAACATCCGTGAATGCAAAAATGCGAAACTCCTGTATAGATGTTTGATCTCGCCACCCCTTCCAGCGTGAGGGCCATCCACTACTTTAACAATGTCCTTCTTCTGTATAGTGTTCTGTTGAGAATCTAACGCCACCGCGTTTCTATTCTCACGTCGTTTCGTCAATCCTTGAGGTCTAGCCTCTACCACTTTTCCATGCATAGATAGAACGTGGAAATTCTCGTGCTCAAGGCGAACTATTACACCTACTGTTTGTGCGTCTAATTGAACTAAATCGCCCCACTGGAACTGTCCTAAACTGTCCACACCAGTGGCCATGTCTGAACAAAGTTGCAAATCTCTTGGAAGAACTTCGAGTTCGTGCATCGATAGATCGGAAAATAAGACTACTCTGTTTTGTTCTACTCGAACGATTAGACCAGTGTCACCTTCGTATCTTCCTGCAACAACCTATAAACAATTGACAAGTCGTGAAATTTCCTACAAGAAATCATATTTTTAAAACCGTAATTTTTCGTTGTATTTACCTTAACGTGATCTCCCATAGTGAAGTACTTCCGTAACTCTAATGCTTGGAATTCTAATGCTTCCTTTAGTTCTTCATGTTTTGGCATAACCATTATCATATTTCCGTCTATCGATACAATTTTTCCTTGCAAATTTATCAATTCACCCTCGCATACTTCGACATTGTCACCAGTACTGAAGGAATGAGTCACAGCGGTATCCTCTTTATTACCAGACACTGGGCCTCCACTTAAATCTATTTCAACACCTTCAGGAGCTTCTTCGAATCTTTCCAATTCCGAGAGAGTCGGCTTCACACCTTCCGCGATAATCGCGCTGGTTGTGAAGTTTTTGTACAAAAATCTAGAACGATCAGAAAATTGTTAATCAACTGTATTATACTGCACTAGCAATTATGTAAGTTATATCGAAACATACCCTTTTCTACTGTATCTATTTCCTTCAAATATCAAAAAATCACCATCACTAGTAACTTCTCCACCAATAGCTCGAATAGCTTCAGGATCAAATGGCTTCGCTGGTGGCCGTCTTTTCTTTTTCCGTTTTAAAGCCTCGGATTCACTTTGCGCTGTTCTCAAAGCTCCACGCGGTCTGGTGTAATCAATTCTAGGCAGTAGTTTCAAGTGAACCTGATTCTGTGCCAAGTCAACGTAATCGACCTGAGCTATGTCATCTTTATAAATGCCCCTCTTCAGTCTAACCCACTGCTTTGCTTTTAACCCGGTTTGTTCTTTAACTACACGCAATACATCCGTCATTTCCTTGATCGGTACCATTTGTTGCTTCCAAATACCCATTCTCAAATTTCCTATATTCTCAATAGCGGCTTTTACGTGCGGCTGTTTGTATGCCTCTATGTAAATGTAACCCTTTACACCTTCTGGTGCAACAACAGACTTTATCTGAAGCGGTTCATCTAACAAATAAAAAACGCAATTAGAAACAAGTATACTTATTACTAAGAGATAAAATAATGATAAATAAATCACTGCATACTTGAAAATTGATATGTTATAAACTTTCGCATTAGCAGGAGTACAGTTGCCTTCTCTTCTCCAATGCGGCATTTTACCATCCACAAATTTGGATCTTTCACACCTGGCAGCAAAGTTTGCTGAGTGATCTCGTCACTCATCTCTTCACCACCATCTCCAAAATGACGAGCAGCAACAGATTCATCTGCATACTTCTTTCTTAAGTATTCTTCTATTTCATCTTCTTTCTGAGAACTGATTGCAATTGCAAATATTATTTTAGGATCAAACAACTTAAAACATTTACAGATATAGGTACTTACTCCCAAAGATTAGTGCCCCTACGTCTTCCTTCAATCTCCCTAGCAGTAGGACCCAGTTCATCTACTTCATTCCCAACAATACCAATTTCCTGAGCACCCTCTTCCCATTCATCATCATCCTCAACTTCATCGTCTACTTCAGCCTCATCTATGATAAAACCACCATATTTATCTTTCTTCTTTTTCTTCCGAGGTCTATCATCATCCTCTTCCTCTTCCTCTTCATCATATTCACTGCTTCCTTCCAAATCTTCTCCTAGATAAATACAAATCCAAAGAATAAATAGAGGTCGTATATAATATTATCAATAATTTACCTTCAGGTTCTTCTTCAGGTTCAACCAGCTCTTCATCCCCAGACCTGGCTTCCTCTGCCTCATCTCCTCTACCATCCTCTGAACTGAAGATTTAATAAATTTTAAAAATCACTGAAAAATTAAAAAACGGAACTTGATAATTATACAAGGAACATTGCTCACCCGGATGCAGATCGAGATCGTGACCGCGATCTAGACGCACTTCTGGATCGCGATCTAGACGGGCTTCTGCTGCGAGAAACACTACGTGATCTTTCTCCAACGCTGCCAGCATCGCTGCCAGCTGCAGATTTTACCGAACGATTTTCTTCCTGATCGCTTTCGCTGCCTCCACCACCTCGGTCACTTTCATTGTCGGATAGATTGCTTGCTTCCGAATCCGACATTTTACCCGAAAGTCAAACGGATCCCGTCAGATAGAAATTGTTGAGCACTAAACACGACAGCTTGGTGATAACAACGAGGCGTATGGAATACGGAATAACGAATACAAAACACGTAGAGAAAGGTTATGTGGTGACGTCTTACAGAACGAACACCAGGGGGATTTATGTAGGCAACTATGTAGGTATTTCTTTAAACTTTTCGACATAAAATTCTGTCTTTTTGATAGCTTTCAAATCAGAGGTCATATGAATGTCAGTATTATCATTAAAAATATAATAACTGGAGTCTTGTGTTATAGATAGCTTAATATAAAATATTTCGTTGTAGTTTCGTGAAAAGATATTGTATATACATATGTACATATGTACAGAAAAGAGAAATCTTAAAATTTATTTCCATGGTCCTACGATATTAGGTCGATCCATTGGATCGTCGGGAATAATTTGAGACTAACGGTGTTAACTTTGAGTGACTAATTACTGAGATATTTGCATGTTTCCATCACCAGGAATTTTCACTCACCTGTCGGTAAGATTTGGCTAGTAGTTTGAGCGATTTATCACGGGTGGTGCCACCGGTCAAAAAAATAGTGGTATTCTGCAATTAAATGCGATTTTAATGGCGTTCTGTTCACTTATTATTATTGTCAATGCGAGGGGATTAATCTACATTTTTTAAGCTTCAAATCGAATGCTTAATCAAGATAAAAGCTGTCCGTATAACATTGTAAGAGCTGTCGAAAAATGAACTAAACTAGGAGCGCATGACGGGACCCAGTGACAACCGTTGCAAACAACTGTGATTTTAACAATGTCTTGTGATTATTGTTTCTCAACCAACTATTCTACGTTCTTCAAGCTTCAACTGAAAATGTAAAACTGTCTATGTAATACCGTAAAAGCTGTCAAAAAATGAACTAAATGAACTAACTTTTGCTTGGCCAGACTGATAGATTGCTCTATACATAGATTTGATGGTCGCCGCCTGCGACCATCTAGCTGCATCTAGCAGTGCATGGCAGTGTATGGCAGTGTATTCTGGGAGTATAATCCGAGGAGTCGCATAAAAACACAAAATCAAAATAAATAATGCACCGTAAATATTTTCAAGCGTATAGTGCTGGTCGTTTTCTGTCCGAGATACTGTGAAATAATAATCTTAGAAAAGATGTCACAAAATTAACTAGGTATATACATATTGAGAACTAGCATTCTTGGATAACAGTGGACACAGTTGAACAAACGTATACACAACGATAAGGGAGTATTTTAAAGTATTGTATAAGAAAAAATAAAGCTAGATCACATTTATTCAACTTAACATATACAATTAATCGAACGATGGTAAAATGAAGACGATTATAAAATGAATACGTATTAAGGTTTGCTGATGTTATGCAGAAGGTAATATAACCTATACAGGTTTCATATCGAGTCAATTAAACAGTTTTCCGATGAAATTTATGATATGCTCTTGAAAAGCATATACAGCAGCGTGATAGAAAACGTGACGAGAAAGATTGAATGTACTAAGTAAAATAAAAAGAATATAAATAGTATAGTTTGGAGTGTCACCATGACACGTAAATGTGTAATGTGTAAAGAGACCAACTACAGAAACAGTTACAGCTTCTTCTCAGCACCCAAAGATCCAGAAATGCGACAAAAGTGGCAGAATGCAATTGGAATTGATAATTATGCTGTTACAGATGATACATATGTTTGCAGTAAACATTTTCACAAAGATGATATCATAACACATTGGGCCAGTGGAGTACCACCGTATGTTATAACAGTAAGTTATAACAGATTTATGTTTATGCTATTTCTTTGGAAGTAAAATAGAAACTAATAAAAAATTAAAGAGCATCCTACTAATAGCTAATACTAATATTATAGTGTGGTAATATTATAAAGTAGATCCTTCACAAATGGATTCTGCTGATGTTGTCACTTATGTATGTTGTAGTTGTTTCTTCCGTTTGCAATTAAATAATAGTGATAATGGAAATTCTCAAGTTTAACAAAAATCATTGAATTTACTAAGGATAGGGGCATCCTCTGAATAACAAATAATTAATTTTACTGTATCATATTTATTTTATCTTACAAAATTGTTTCTTGTAATGTTATCTTTGTTACAGATCAAATATAAGAAATGTAGATTACGTCCAGGTGCTGTGCCTGGTAAAAATTATCCTGAAGAAAATGTAGAGCTAAAGCAAGAACATTCCGACGACTTTGATGAAAATTTCTCACCTTTCAAATTAAAACGAGAAGATATTCCGAAAGGAAAACGAAAGAACTTTCTGGTGTCTAAAGCTGAAGAAAAGTTAGAAATAAACTGCTATGAAAAGCATAGAATACCTTTATATTATAAATACACTCGAGAAATCGATGATCATAATTATATGCCAAATGCTAAATTATTGGCTAAAACAAAACCGTTAAACAATGAGACGAATATGAATGATGAGTCATATGATGAACCTGTAGAGAAAAAGTTTAAACAAATAAAAAGGAGTAAAACGACACACCTTAATGAAGATGCTGTTGCTATTAAAATGGATTTGACGAAAGATTCGAATTCCGACGATAAGGGAGACGATCAAGATCTATTGTGTAAAGAGGAATCTCCTTCGCATATGTCTGAGAAAGAATCAAAGTCTCTTCTACCTACTATCTCTAAGAAAGCATCGGAGTCGTCTCTTTTGAATGCATCTATGAGAGTATCAGAGCCTTCTTCTAAAGATTGCCATGCTTCCAACAAAGGCGATATGCTGGTACAGGTGTGGGAACACAAAGCAGCAATAAAAGACGAGCCAACAGATAATAAAGTTAAACAAAAAGAAAATTCGCCTATAGAAAACCAAATAGTCAGTAATTACAATGAGTTAGATACACGTTGTACTAAATGTAGTGATAGCGAGGAAAATGAAATGTTATTTGAAGATTTACTTGAAGTATACACGGAGGTACTGTTGCCGCGTGGCTGGTCCTGTTTGGTAACATCAACGGGACTTGCTATGACAGTAGTGTATATGTACATGGGAATGACGAAAAGCGGTATGCCTTATACGGAGAAACAAGTGTTTATAAAAAGTGATATGACGATGCGTTGTGTCGCTGTAAGTAGAGAAATTAATCCCCTCACTCATAATCTCATAAGGGAGGGGAAACATCTAAGAATACAAAATTTATTAGATATAGAAGAACTTATTGATGAATTTGATCAAAGAACGATTTGTCAAGGTACGTACAATCTTCTGTTGTTCAGATCGAGATTTTTAACAAATTTTAACTTTTTTTTTTTTTTTTTAATTAGGTATGTACAATCCTGATGATTGTCAAGAAGTTATCGACCTCAAAGTAGTTTACAAAGATGGTGTAAAATGGAGACACATTTTATGTCCATTACTAATGAATAATGGGTCAATAAGGTGTACGAGATGCATTACTCTATCTCATAAAATACAACGTAGACCAAGAATTCGCCATCCTCTTGCTTACAATCTTTCTGTGCTTAGAAAAAACGAACAAAGGATTCATGCACTCCGACAAATGTGGAAACGACTAAAGAAACGAAATCGCAAACGTGAATTTATAAACGTATCTGAAAAATAAATTAATTTCGAATAAATCCTAAATGAAATTTGATTTGCTACTTTTTGTTTTGCACTCTTTATACAATTATGATAAATTATTTACAAGGAATAAATTGTTTTTGTAATGAAAGAAAAGCAAACAGAAATTGTTTGAAAAAATGTGTTTAATTCGAATGATTTGAATCAGATAAATTCACATTTTAAATTGGATTATTCTAATGTAAAAATTATATTCTTGCGTAGCGTCAATATAGTTTACACAGAAAATAATTACAATTAAGATTGAAGTGTTTTATTTGCGTTTTCTTCTGTTGTTGGAATTACTTTTATTGAAATTGTTATAGTCATTACTGTCTGATCTTTTCTGAAATGACCAAAAAATGTATAAGATTAATAAATTACTAAACTCATAGTTCACTAAAAGAAATTTGTTCAACACTTAAACGATTACTGTTAATCGTAACTGCATGTATAAATCTCAACTACTTTTCATAAATTCGTAAAAACTATTTCTTCTTTTTTACCTGAAACCATTCCTTTTGTAATTGTTCTAAAAGTTTTGGCGTTAAAACACCTTCTGATATTAGCCTCTGTGTTACTTTCCCTTTCGGAAGCGTATCCGCTGAATCTGTAATATAAATTACTCCATTAACTTTCCTTTTTGCAAATACATATTTCCATTCATATAAATATCTAAGAAAGGAACTATATAGACACGTTAAATACAGTACCCTCACCCAATAGTACAGGGTACGGTGCTGCAGGTGAATATGTATGTTTCGAAGAAACGCGAGGTACTCCACAAATGGCTCTCGACATTTCAAAACGAAAGGAACTATTTACGAAAATCTGTTTTGAAATGTAACGCAAACGTGCTTGCCCAGCGGTGGAAGAAGCGTTCGAACGCGATGAAGGGGAGACGAACTATTGGGTGAGAGTACTGTATCAGTATTTTTTATACTCAATAAACTACCTCTATAAATACTTCTTTCAGTCTGACATTCAGTTATATTTGTTCGGTCTTGGTCTGTTTGCTCATCTGTTGATTAATAAAATACAAGATTATCACTTATTCCATTGTTAAATTAATTAATGGTGGATATTATATTATAAAATAAATATACCTGATTGTTGGAACAATATTTTCAATTTTTTCACTCCTATTTCAATTATTTTATCTAGTTCTTGTTGTATTTCCCTAACTGCACTTCCATCGGGAAACAAATCGGTGAACCGATAGCTAGATAATACGTTATAAAGTTAGGCATTAATAAATTATAGAATTACAGTGTTATGTCTTAAAGCACTCGTTTACCTGAACCAGAGATAAATATCCAATACATCAAATACTGCTTCCAAATGTACAAGATCAGAAATATTCCCTGGTGGTTTTGGAGGCCAATTGATTTGTTGACATAACCACTTGACAGTTATTTTGCTGTTATTACTACACTGTCGCGCATACTGTACAATAAATTGTGTTAACGTTTAATATGAAAAGAAAACGTTAAGTATAAAACAGTTGTACCTTACCTTCAAGAACATGCTGCACACAAATGGCTCTTTCCTATTAATGGGTGCACAACAAAATACGTATTGCGTACGAAGGTTTAAAGGTATGTGTTGTATCATATCAGCTAAAAATTTAAAATCGTTCAAATTGCAGATAAAGTAAAGGGAATCATCAACTTGACTCAATGCAACAAAAATGTTCTGAAAAGAAAAAATCTTATAACTCTGCTAAACTATACGTAATACAATATTAAATAATTACAATAAGATTCGAAAGTGGTGTGTTTGGTAGTTGATAAGCATATAATTCAATTTGATCAGCAGTTGGATGCAGTCCAGCTTTTACTATTATCTCCGGAGTTTCTTTCAGTAATTTCTTTAATACAGGAAGATCTTCAGATTTAAAAGTTGTAACAAAACCCTATAGTGTAACAAACAATTAATAGTGTTAACACACGGATACACGGATTTTCATTAGATCTAGTTACTTACATTCTCCCATTGCGTGTTAAAACGACCTGCACGTCCTGCTATTTGTAATGCGGACGATACAGATAGTACATCAATTTCTTTCTCCCCTTTCTCATTTACAGTTGGTTGATAAACTGAATAAAATATGATTCTACGAATATGTCTAGAATAGAATTAATAAGTTTGGTTACTTTTGTAATACTATACTATAAACAAAAATTAATTTGCATATCGAATTCTTATATGAATTAATATTTTCATACGAACTTACAAGTTAAGTCCCATTCCTATTGCATTAGTGGCGACTAGTATTTTACACCCATCATTTACATCATTAAATCTAGCAGCTTGTGCAAGTTTCGTGCCCGGTGGCAAGCTACCATATATTACAGCCACCTGTTTTCCCAATTTCTCAATAGTTTGTGACACATAAAATATATCATTTTTATTGAAACAAACTATACAATCTCCTGGCTGAACATGAGACAATGATTGAAGTGCGTGGTTTTCTACCGTTAGATTAGTCAATCTTTTATACTGCTTTACTTCCACTTGTTCTCCTACTGTCGCGCACATAGACTCTACCTAAAATACAATACAAATTTTATATAATAAAGAATATTTAGAAATCTAGGTTTATAATTAAAGAAATGAAATTTGTTAAACCCACAATAGGTATAGCAGCAGATTCACCACATAAATGTACTTCATCTGCAGAAAGACCCAGAACAGCTCTTGTCCATGCCCAACCCCTACTTCCATCACGTAATAACTGAATTTCATCAACCACAGCTATTTCAACTACAACCAAACGATCACAAATATTCAATTACAACTTTGTTAATGAAATACACGAGCATATATAGTGGTACATGTGGAAGTTATATCATTTTTAGAAATTATTCATCTACAAAAGTAGACTTAATGTTCATTATTGTAATCTTCATATACAGATCTTGGAAAACTCCTGATGAGAATATTATGAAATATAATTCACAAAGAAAAAATAGCAAGAATATAAATTAGGTAACATATTAGGTCTAAAATTTTTCATAACATTCCATATTGCCTTTTATGTGCAAATAGAATGAAAAGTATAATTACATACATTAAATGTTAGATGATTAATACTTACATTCATTATTTAAATTCACCATCTCTACAGAACATGCTACATGATTTGCAGGAGACATTTCATTGCGAGCATACCTTCTTTCTTCTCCTGTTATTAAATCACAAGGTGTACCCTGAAAATACTTATATTAAGTATATGCTTTAGAAAATTAATTTGACATGCACCACTGACCATAGAATTAGACTTGTTAAAAACTTCAACAGCTAATAACTTTAGTGGTCCACAATAAACACCGCTATTTGCTGACATAAATCTTTGTAATGCATGATAAGTTTTACCACTATTGGTGGGACCACTATGAAATATTATTTTTCGCTTTTTTTTCCTTGCCAAGGGATACCTACGGATAAAAAATGATATATTTGCACATACATACATATATAACCTTTACTACTTAAATAATTAATCTTACCAATTAGGTGGATGGCGAAGGTCACTAATTTTTTTTAGGTCATCCAAACAATCAATGTGTGGATATATTTGTTTGGCATAACGTAAAAAGTAAGGGAATATATCAGAGATATTTCCAGCGCCCTGAATAACATCATTTAAAATAACATGTAAATCTACTGGCAATGGTTCCGATGTCATGCAGTAATTTCGAAAACTATTCAAAGCAGTGTTTAAAAGAATATCTAGAAAAAGACACACAGTGAATACCAGAAAATATTAAAAACTAACATTTCCATACGAATAACAGAAAGTACAATAGTTACCGTCAAATCCATATTTTAAAGCTAACTCCCTAATTGATTTTTTGTGAGCAAAAGTACTCAAAACTGTAATAATACAGTTTTTGTCTAGATTACCAGTCAGCTCAGCACCAACATTAATATCGTCTGAATTTGACTTTACATCTACCGGTTGAAATAAGGAAGACACATTTGAGTTGCTATGTTTACTCTTCAGCCTTATACTCAAAGAAGATGTTAATACAGGATGTAATTGCCTAAAAATTATAGAAAAGAGCAAGTTGATGCAATCATTTCTGATTCTTGGATACATGTATATGGTATACTGAAGCTTTGAAATATAATTAAACAATGAAAACCTCAAAAAGGATGGTAACAGAAATTTACTGTGACGTTTCAACTGGTCTATGACAAGATGTTTGAGTGGAATCATTTCTGAATCCAATTTTATTTACTTTCATATTCAACCGATTTCTAACCAAGAAACCCCGAGACTCGTGGGGCAATGGAGTAACCTCAAATCCCAAATTGCTCGAAGGCATTCGAAGGTTATTGCTACGGTTTTGTGAGTAGCTAAAGTAGCGGCGCCACTCGACGGGTTATTGCAACTGAATATTGTGAGATCGCAACTATTTTAAATTTGTCTTCTCCGTTATTCAATACATATGTAGTTGCGAAGATAATTTTCAAAATATACATTGACTTTGTTAATGTTAAAAATGATAAAACAAGAATTTATACTGTATAAATTATAGAATCCGTTGGAATAAAAGAAACATTTTTTATTACAAACGGCGCTTATACAAATTTTCTTTTTTTTGATTTCATCTTTTCTGTTTACCTTGAATGAATCTTTATTATTCTGTATTATTCACGTATAATAATGTAAAGTATAGCGCCCGTTTGTCGTTCTGGTTTAACAAGTTCATTATGAAATGTTAATTACCATTCAAACGTATTTATTTCTTCTTTTGTTCCTTCATTCGATCATTTATCGATCAGTCAAAAATATACATTTGAAAAGGTTAAATCCCTGGTGAAATATTTCTTTCCCGTAAATTTATAATATGTTTATTGTAACGTACAAATTACTCAAGTATTTACAAATATAAAAAATATGGGTAAGTTTTGTAGTTAGAATACCAAAGAGCAGAGGTTGCGCTTGAAGTTTATATTTAGAACAATATTATTATAGATCATACACAATCCGCGTGTGATCGAACACAATCGACATGTGATCGAAAGTGTTCAAGAATAGGTGTGCCAACATCGGAGGAAATTCGTCATTGTTTAGGCCCGTCTTTGGCGCAAATATTTTTTCAATATAGTCACAATGACACGAAAACGCTGTTGGATTTAATAGCACCGGAAAAGTCGCCGCAACCCTGCTTTACAGTTCAAATCGATGACGATAAGTTAACGTCACTGGCGCATGGCGAAACTATCAAATCAAACGTTCATGAGAATATATTAGGTAATTTACAAAAAAAATATTAAATGCATTCCGTTCAGTTATAGTATTGAATGGACTTTTTAGAAATTGGCGGAAGCATCCTAGAACGCTTCCGGAAGCAGATTGAGGAAGAATTACGAGAAAGAATAAATAAACAATCGGAGGAAAAGTTTTATATGTATCAAGCGAAAAAACGACTAGAGTTTGCGCAGAAGTCGCAAGAGTTACATGAAAAATACAAAAAGTTCATTAAAACAGTACAAAAGGAAATGCAAAAACAAATTGAAGTAATATCTCTTTTCACGGCTAATAAGTTTCATTTATTAGTTTATTATTGGTAATTGATAAGGAGAATAATGGATATGTGTCTAAGGAACACGAGACTTTGACCGCTTTTCTAAATCTTTCGGATCCTAACGGTCATCTAAGATGTCATTAAGTGATAATTGTTTATTGATTTCAGATTTAAATAGAAATTAGATAAACGTTGTTTCTTTTAACTCTTCTTACACGTATTTAGATAGTTACTATATACTATAATTGGACTATGGATTGTATATATTAATAGCATGGAGAATATCTTAAAAGACAGTATTTACAAATAAATATTTTTGTATTCTAGTGTGAATGGACGAAGGCAACTGCACAATGGGTGAAAAATCTACAGAAAGCGGTTGTACAAGAACGAATAGACGTGATTAATGAAATGATGCAAAAAATGAGAATTGAAATGGCTTACGTAATACAGTCCTTGTTTGAAGAATTCGAGGAATCATTTCGTGCCCAAAGGGAGAATATCATCGCTGATTTTAATGGAATCCTCAGGTTAATATCTGTAAATTGGTAGATATGCCACTCAATTAATCTCCAAGATTTTGTGTAGGAATAAGCACGTGGAATTGAGTGAGGAAAAGAGAGAGTTCGAACAGAAGGTGGGAAGAGAATTGTACATTCAGAGGCATCAACTTGAAATGGAATCAACTGTGAATGTAATGTGTGTCCACTGTGTGGAACGGTTACGATGTTGCGAAGAAAAGCATATTATACACAAATACTTTCAGGTAATCTCTCTGATCTCTAGTCACATTTGTAGGCAATAGTCCGAAAAGCGTATTACTGTTTTTAATGCAAACTTATGTACAAATAGAAAAGAATCATTGGGCTACATAGATTGATCGGCCGACTAAACGATATTATGAACGTGATGAAAGAAGAGATTATTAATTGTCATATAGAGAACAATTTGTTGGAAGAACAATTTTGCGAAGTTACTAAACAATTTCAGAAATTCATTGATTTTGTGTTTCGCGCAGCACCAGGACAAGCACAGTATTTGTTACCATTGGAGTTACAAAGATTAATTACTGTAGATAATGATAAAAGTGAAAACGGAGATAAAGAGAAAGATAATAAATAAAATCTTCATTTGCAATGTCTCTATTACTAAACGTATGAAACGATTTATTAGAGTCTTATAATTAGACGAATGCGTACTGAATTGTTATTGAAATACTAAAAAAGCGTAATCACGGTAAAAGCCCGCATCTGGACGGTTGACGCTCAAACACCGTGAACCGGAAGTTGCGCTTCAAATCAAATCAAATTTGAAATCAAATTAATACGTATTATGGGAATAATATTTTCAATCATCTTTCTGGAAAAAATTTACATGTGTTCGCGTATAATAATTTATGCGTAGAATGTTTAATGTAGTACCAAGAAAAGAAAAATATTAATATAAAATCTTTCTTACTCTGACGAAATACAGATGATAAAATATTAATTATTGTCATGTAGGTAAATAGTATTATTATTATTATATTAGCTGTCTTGATCACAACTCGATGCCGCACGTAAACATGGACGATACCAATCTGGATCTCTTTGAAGACTCGATATTTTCGGATGATAAAACTCCCGAAACGTAACATTTCTTTGTCCAACCTTAGTTCGTGGAACCGGTGGATAATCTGAAAGACGCCATCCATGTAACCAAGTCGTACAATCTGGATAGAAGTAACGATCTTCTGGAATGTTTTCTAATCTATAATAATCAAATGAATTATTTATTAATCATTAGTTAATAGAATTGATCCTTTCCTAGTAAACATGATAAAACCTAATGAATTATCATTTAATGTGTATAACGACGTGCAAAACCTTTTGTTTATATAATTTTCAGCAGTGATGAAGCTAGGAGCGTCTTCGTACAAAAGAGCTCTTATTTGTGGATCGATTGGTCTCATTATATTCATATCAATGGAATCATCAGGGTCGAATGGCCTCCAATTTGGCAAAGGCTTCAAACGTATCTATAAAATAGATTGAAATATGTTTAATGTTCAAGAAATAACAAACACAATTCATCACGATAGGATCAATCGTATATAAGTACATTGTCCGCGCTCGATTGTTCATGCGATTCACGCGTGGGAGATTCAATTATTTTCGCGGCTTCGGTTATTTTTAAACGATCCAATAATTTTTGCTGATTTTTCAAAAACCATTTGATACGTCCAGCTTCCTCTCTTTTTATCATTGCAACGTGAAACGCCTGACAACGGCTGTCGCATATTCCTTTGTTCGCCATAACTTAATTTTGTCATTCGCACCTAACAGTAAAGGAACAATAAATATTTAAACATTAATTTTTAAGTCATTATAAAAGTTACATCTATAAAGACACAAAGAAATTTCACACAGCATTAATCTGAAGTGAGACCAGAAAGTATTGCGATGCTTTAATGTTTATCTCATTTTATTTAGGAAATTCTTTCAAACATAGCAAACAAGAGAATTATTGTGACACGGTTTACATACTTTGCAAATTATTTTATTTACATTGTTATTACATATAATACGTCTTATTGTATGCTGATCAATTACTTTTGCATGTGCTATCATTATTAACTTATATAATAATACCAGTGGGAGCATTATTTTATGTATAAATTGATTAAAACTAAATTAGTAAAATCAGAGCTCAATTTAAAGCATACGAGAACGATTTTCTTAACTTGTATTTATTCTTTTTCAGAAGTGAATAATCCATGGAAATTGACTGATTTTTTATGTCCTCCTCAAAGTATGTGAAATCAAGTTTGGAGTTCTAATGACAATAGAAATTGGCGGCTGGTATTACTTCTTTTTTACTATAAACAAAGTGAGTATTTATTTAAACACTAAGAAAAGTGTACATAACAATTTTTTGCGATAGTTTAAAGAAAAATCAATGTAAACACAAAATGTACGTTCGTTAAATACCAGACACGATCACTTGAATACATACTGCATACTGCTGCTTATTCGATACGCGTGAATTTTATATATACATGCTGTGTATATGTATATTTGTGTGTATGAAGATACATCGTATATTGTATATTATCTCGCTGCTGTTTTCGATAAAATTTTTACAAAAAAATTGAATTTTCGCAGCGTAGGAATAATTTTCATGTTCTGAGAAAATAGTATGTATATTATTGTGACAAGTCTATCAAAAAATATTTCTAAAAAAAAGTGTTCTCGTGTACAATTGTTTAATGTACATAAGAATCATTGACTTATTCTGCGGTATCAGACTGATATATACGATAACGATGAGTAGTATTATAGTGCCGTAATAATAAATAAATATGGCGTGAAATATGAGTTCTCACATGATATTACTCCCTCTTAAAGTCAACATCAAATGACCCAGTTATCACAGCCATAGGAAGCAATATTGTGGTACGTCATAAGGTTTAGATGCAACGTTATTTATATTACAAACTGACTAAGGAGCAATTCTTAATTTGTACTTGGATAATCAAGACAAATTGTACTTATCGCACAATAACATTGCCATTTCCTGCCTAGTCCGTTCCTTCATACTGTACATACGCATGTAATATTAACTTATCTATAGTGCTCTACAAAATAATTACTTTACACCATCCGCGATTGGTCTAGAAAGTTATTGTAATAAACAATTTTCCTCTGTATTAATCTAAATTCTTTTTTGTCCTTTTTTATGCAAGACTTATTTAGAGTTCCAGTTCAAAGTTAATACTATTTCAATTAACTTACTTGTTGCCTAAACTTAGAACGTGCGTTATATTTTATACATATAAATATCGAATACTAAAATTTTACGTCAGAGATTATTTGTCAATAACGCTGACTTAATTATATTATATACACTTTATCTGTAATTTCTTCCATGCATCCCACTGTTTTGTTGTTAACTTAAGTTTATGGTACAATGTTGAATATATGTATATATTCTAATTCGCTATTCAAGTGGAGCATGTTTTTCCAAACCTAATGTTTAAAAAAAGGATACTCATGTTACTTGTCTTACGTATAACTTGTTCAGTGCAAACTTGCGGTATCCCCAATAGCTTTTGGTTTGTACAAAATATGTATATATTCCTTCAATTCGAAATTAAATATGGCTCACTCTATAGTAGAATTATTTGTATGTTCCAAATCTTTTTACATGTTAAATAATTTGAGAATGCCAGAAATAAATTCATGCAAATAAGCTATTATATAAATTATTTTATAACAAAATATACACAATTGTATTATAAATAACTTGAACGCAGTTTATATGTATTTTTTTGTGAAGTTCTTCGTTATAAACTGTGTTCAAAAAATAATTTTTCAATTGACGTTTTTCTAATCATCTTTGTGTGCTGGATTACAACTGGCAATACCGGTAGCAATAAATACATATTTAGTTTTCAAAATAATATTGTTAATTATTAATTTCGCTTTTTAGAGTGATACACATCATATGAATAAACATTATATCCAATGAAGTGATATATTCGATAGAATTTTACAACTGTGAATAGAACACAACAATTTTCATTTGTGAAATTAATGCTTCATATTTTCATATCACTTACATTTTTCTGATGCAATTGTTTTACAAACTATTATAGAGTTTTTTTTCACTTTAACGGATAAAAATGCGATTTTTATTGTATCGTAACTGATATATATGTATAAGTAGCCGTATACGAAGAAGTAACTTGGAAAATTTTCTGATACATCTTTAATATCAATGAGCCTGCGTCCTGCACTTGGCTCAGACATTGATTTTTAATCGTATTCTGAATTAGTATACATAGGCAATAATACCATAATAACAGATGAACTAACAAAATATCACTCATCATCGATAAACTCTTGAAATACGAAAAACGGACGCTTATTTTTCATCCAACAGTGTTCCAGTGTAAAGGTCACATTAAAGAATTCCAAAATACCTAACTAGTAGACACATCGAGTAATACCGAGGTTGGGGCGGTTTTATTAAGATACACACTCACATCTTGAAAGCGACTAGACCTAGAAGAACCAGCCTGATTCTGATTCGTACCGCTTGCGTCATTATCAGCTTCTGGTCTATGATATCCATCGTCTTGTTTTTCTTGAAGTATATACTTGAAAAATTCATATCTAAAAAATTGTTTTGCAACATTTATATTCGCACATATGACATTCAATTTAATGCATAATTATATATGCTTTGATTATCATGCTCAACCCTTTGATAAAGAATACTTCACGTTGCTCCTGTACTCGATAAAAGACATGTATAGATATAGTTTCTCAACTTTTAGAACTTTAGATAGTTCTACAAAAGTATGATTATAAAGGGTTAACATTTGCAAATACAATTTAATTTCATTTAATTATTAACGTATATGTGCTATATACTTACGTTGACCAACAAATAGCGGTCGCTGGCATTTGATATATAATACGAGCATTTAAACCACGGAAGTAGCCACGTATACCGCTATGAGCGTAAACTTTCTTAAAAGCATCTATCATACCCCGAGCATGTACACCGTTTTGTGTATTCAAAAGTGTTTTGCAAACGTCTAAAGGCGTTGTAACCGCAGCAGCAACAGCTCCTGCCAACGCACCTGCAATTGATACAGATCTGTTAATACAGTTTTCATAAATAAACTGTAATATCCCTAAAATTCACTGTAACTGAATATAGGGTAATGTCAAATAAGCACATTTATATACCAGATTCCACGTGAGCTATAGGATTGTATATGTGTTGCGGATTTGTGAAAGCTTGCGCGACTTCGTAAGTCATGAAGTGAATCATCTGGAAAGGTACATTCATTGCCAGCTGAGTAGTATAACTTCTATAAAATGCCTTTGCGCCTTCATTCTGATATACATTTTTTATACATGCTGTGACACTTTGATAGGGAGAGTTATACATTTGTAATCGTTGTTTAACCACTGTAATGAGATAAGTTTATTCTTCATTGAAAAGAAGTACATTTTGCATTTTATACCACACACATAATGTATAGATGATATTACAGAGTCTTTGCAAGACATATTACCTTCTGCTGGATTCATTACACCATCATGAAGAAGTGTTGCCACACACCCAGCAACACCATAAGCAACCAAATTGAATTCAGAGAGTGTCCTTGAACTTAGTAGCTTATCTTTTATGAATTCATAACATGAAAAATATAATGCATGTGCAGGTCCAGCTCCTACAACCATTGCACTCATACCACGAATTGGTCTCAAAAGACCCTCCTGTCGTACCATTCTAATCAGGACTTCTCCCATTCCCCCTCCCCCACCTGGACCTGGAGTTAATGCTTGCATTCTGGTCTAAACAAAGACAAAAAAATACTTCTGAACAAATTACATGCAAATAATTATTTTATTCAATGAAACAGGTTGTTTACACAGTTTATATATATATGCTGTTATTTTTCATGGATAAGTAAAATTTTGTATCTCGTAAAATTCAAAGACACAGATTACAAAGATGTTGAAGTACATGTGACTTTCAATTATCTTAAAACACTGCGTATTTATTTTTGATTACTTGATAATGATAGAAAGATACTGAATCACCAAGACAACCTTACCACAACATGACTTGCATTTATCTAAAGATACACTAGTGATCAAGTAAAGTTCTTTTGACAATTGTTTAAGTAAATCTCAGATCACTTTAAACTGAGGTCATTAACTTAAATGATAATATGCTTTACATAGAGTGCATACTAAGTCATTGACCTTTAAATTTATTATTGTTTTAAATTCTGTTCGAATTACTAAACAAATTTTTATGTTGTGGATTGTGGGATAATTATAATTTGTTATATATATTTTTCTCGCAGATAAATGAAAAAGTAAATGATCATAGAGGTTGTGGGCTGTAAGGAAACCAAAAATAGAACCCACTGCAAGAGACCTAAGTGACATTGTTACATAATGAATGTTTGAAGCTTATGTTCTGTTTAAGACATTCTATGTGTATCAAATTTATAGTAAACATGGTTAAAAATATTGTTCAAGCATCATTATTTAAAGCTAAACTTTTAATGTTACCTATCTATAATTACAGAGTATAATTTATCTATGAATAATTGCAGTGCACGAGTATCGCAACATGACATAATATATAGACCAAATACCTTACTTGCATGGTAGTAAAACTTATACTACAATACTTAAATACATATTTGTTCTCCTAAAAAGTAGTTACTCTTAAAGCAAAATTATTGTACAAGTGACATAAATAAATTTATCTTACTTTATTAATAAACTAATGTAATAAAAAAGTAACAAATTATTGAGTAAATTGGACATTGAGTACTTATTTTAATAATTTCAAACATATATTGTTTCTATTATTGTTAGTTACAATTTATGCATGTTGTTCAAATAGAAAAATTAATTTTCTGTTTTTCATTTTTATATGGAAACTATAGAAAGTATGGAAATGTTTGCTATAATAAAAAGAAACTGCTAAACCATTTGATGACTAAGTTCATTCGTTTTTGAGCACAACAACCTAGTAGTACCTGGATATAATTATGAAATAACATTGCCTGAGTTGGTTACACAATGTGTTTTCCAACCATGACATAAAACGCAAAATACTACCATGATCCCAAAGTTACAATAACATTTGCTGTCTGACAAAGGTTAATGGTACTTATCTTGAAAATATAAGTTGTTCATTATTTACTTAAGATTACAACCTACAATGATGCGCGACATCTGATTCTCGGAATTTTCACGGAGAAGAACAGGAAAACTCCGGTTTATCTGATGACAAAACCTCCGTTCTAACATTATTCGAAGACTGTGCGTCTTGCGATGTCACGATGTCAAATGTCATCGAATCTTATTAGAATGTAACGAGAATCGAGTAACGTTGGATGAGGTTATGTAAAGGAGGCCTGTAAAAAAATTCGAAAGAATTAAAGAGACATTACCTTGACACTGTCAAGCGGATACATCACGCAGTGCTCCATAATTCCAGCAAACGCGCCCGCTGTCATATGTACAGGCATGGAAGATGTAGGCAGGCTTTCGTATATTTCCGCGTTCATATTTATGAGAAGGCGTCAACGCGGATTCCAATTCACGGTTTTAAAGTGCCGCAATCGTTATGCACTCTGGATCGTGGCGAACAGCACACTGCAGCATACGATTTCGGTGGTTAACCGAGATGTTGAGTTACCGTCGATGCAGCGGCATTTACTTTGTAATCGCCGGAAATGTTGCTCGTTCGGATCGGATAAAGGAAAAGGCTCGTTCGTTCGTCGTGACGAGACGTAATCGTACACGTTGATCGTGTCTTAATGGACCGTATTGAAATTGAAAAGGCTGCTACCCCCGATAGGCAAATTTACAATGTACAATCCCCTCCACGTACTTTCGGTGTAAAGAAATTTCTGTTGTATCTCACCAACCTGATGGCACGCTCGAAAACTTATATACGCACGGCATTTACTTTCGACCGTTTCCTCAAGTAGCCACGGAACTCAATGCATATTGGCATCAATTGGCATTCTCGCGGCACAGCTATGAATCGTCACAGGTTGACTCGGTAAGGTTAGGCGTACTGCGTACGCGCACGTGCCACGCATGCGTCGTGTTCAACCACGTGGTTCGTGCGTGCAGTGTATTACGTATAGTGAAGTTAATAAATAGTCTGATTACTGTACAAGTCATGTGTGCATCAGTCGCACGATTATGGATTTCAAGTACTGTTTGATTAAATAGCTTGCTTTCTTTCAAAATAAATTATAGTCAATATCGGATTGACTGAACCTCTGCTATTCTAAATGTTATCTGAACGCTAATTAGTTTTTAATAAGTAGAATAGACAAATATATGTTTGAATTTAGTTAGACGTGAACACCGGTTATTCTAATAAGAAAATTGCAAGTGGTATAGAAAATCAATAAATTTTTGTTATATAAATCAGACCTTTGTATAACAATCATTGAAGAGACTCTTTCTTTTTTTAGTACTTTCAGTTGTACCTTTGCTGCTGTGCTTTCTATGTTTTTAGAACATACAAGTATTTAGGTATAATTCTTCACGGTTCATTATTACTTTTAAAACGTGATAACGATACAAATCGAAATACACAATTATCATGGAAATAATTTAAATGAGGTCCAACTTCCATTAAAGTTTTGAATATTTATTACCAAGGTGAGTACTGTGATGTCATTGCATAGTTATTGATACATACAATTTTTGTGTATCTAAAGTTAGATAAAGTGTATCTTTTATCTAAGAAATAATTTACCATGTAGTGTAAAAAATATTGTTTCATTCGTACCAAACTTCTGAAATAATTTTCTTTCTTATCCATGTCAATGTATTTTAGAGAAATATATTCAAACTTATGTGCTATTTAAAATGTATTCTAAAAGATGAAAGAAATAAAATCAAAATATTTTAAGTATTTGAAATATTATGTAATAATGACCAGAATACAATGTGAAAATGTTTTGAGATTTCTTTTAAGTATCAGAAAAAAATCATTCAGTTTTCTATCAATTGTAAATTTGATGCAAGTCTTGATTAATATTTTATGTTTATATCAAATTTTTTGGTGCAAACAAGCGTTTTCAAAACTATATGTCAACGTGCATTTTTTTATCTTAATATTCAAGTTTAAATACGAAGTTTTCCCGGTATCTTATCGCGCGGTACTAATATACTGGAAATTTTCGAACTATCTACGTAAGAAGGTTGTAATGAAATATGTGATGTTGTGCACATGAACTGATTAATGAAATTCCAAGATTTTATTCAACATTTACAAACTGTGATTGGGACTCATTCTTTTACAATATTGTACAGACAATTCAACAATACCGCAGACAATGCACCTGTTTCATAAACAAGTACAAGGTAAGTAGAGCATGATAAATTGTTTTCAAATTATCATTCTATTTATAGGAAATCACGATTACCAGATATCAACAAGTTCGATATTGTATTTTCTTTTTTTTCGTCCTGGCGAATGACCCAGTAAGTATGACGCTAATTTGTTTTTTGACGCGTAAGGATTGAACGTGCAACTTGTTGAATAATACACGAGGGTCTTTGATCGCGTTCCATATGGATTTATGTAGTCTGGCTAAAAATGGTAAGGTCAATCGACATAATTCCGTGAAGCTGAAATTAAATGATCCAACGTATACCAGGAATATCAAATAAGTAACAATTACCTAATAACCGGTTCACGTATTATACGATACTCGTGTAATTTTTTCCCTTTGTGATCACGTATCGTGTTATCGTTACACGTATACGATGGCAGACAAGCGTTTTCTAGGTAAAATGAATGCTTCTTCCCCGTATCTGAAACTACTTCTAATCGAAAAAATACTCAAGCGATACCTGTTGCGTAATAACAATGTAATTTCTTGTTTGATACTACAGATAGAGGAAGGTCTCAACACTTACGAATTGTTTAACATGTATACAAAAAATCGCTTTATTTCAAAGCAATCATGGTAGTAATGGATTTTATAAACTTTTAGCTACTATATTACATACAGCAATAAATATTTTAAAAAGTTGGAAAAAATATTCTACAATATATATCTTCACAGTACTATAATGTAATGTAATGTACTCCTGTTTTATATACACATTTATACAAACTTATGCATATACAGAATTCAGAACACGTTTATTAATAAATATAACATCTTCGTAAAAATGTAATAGTACAATTTTAGGTATTTAGTGAGAAAGTGATGCAATATGCGATAATTTATTAGTGTAACAAAAATGAATGACTTTTTTTCATTGGTCTACTCGTTGCTGTTTCAGATTTTGAACAGAATTATGGAAGCTATTGCTGTATTTTATTTTACCATCACAGAACAACTAGTTTTCGTTTCTATTCTCCATACGAAATTTAATTGTAAAAAACTTGCAAACAGAATACATTCAGAAGTGTAAACAATATTATTATTTCTATAATGATATCTCTTATTTTTAGCTTATCATGCTTTTTATCATCCAACATTCACAATCAACTTATTCAACATTAAGAAATAACAGTTTAAAAAGCAAATTTACATTAGAGATATAAAACTTCGGAAATCACATATAAAACTCTTACTTTAAAGTATGATTATTGTGTTTGAGATAATTAATGTATATGTTAATGATTTAATGTGTAATTCTATAAATACACTGCACTTTTTTCACGTATTGTGTACATATACATTCATAAAAATTGCACAGTATTAATTGCAAATTTTTGTATTATTCATAAGTTGATCTCTATACAAAAAAGTTTAATGTACGAAATTTATGAAAAAATATTAATGTCTGGTTTTTTTTATAAATTACAATTACATAAACATATAGTACTCAATACACATTAAAATGTAAAGTAAATATACATTATCCACAATAATTTATACACTTGCCTTTTTCAAACAATAATACAATAAATTTTAAAGAAGGTGAATGATGATACATTTGAATTCAATATGTGCACATACTTCATAATTCACATTTTTCTGAATTTTCACGGTATAGTACTATATCATCACTGAAGTAACTGTCTTTAAAATATGTCTGTTTAAAAATATATCTTAAGTCCATATTTCGTTCGGAAAGATATATTCAGATACATTGTACATGTTTGTAAACATGTTGCAAATATCAACAAATCAACAATGGTGGATGTACCAGTTTGTAAATAAGAACAAAGAAATGATGCATGTCATTACAGATCCAATACTAAAGTACATTCCATTTGATATTGTTCTGAAACCAAAGGAAATGAATGAAACAAGTAGTGAAGCACACAACAGAAGAAAAACATAGTGGAAAGGTTACTTAAAGAAAAGATATCTTGATTAAGTACACGAAAATATCAGGCCGAAATATTTATAACAAATAATCGACAAAACGATGCTTTTAGAACGAAACATAGTTAAAGGTAAAGCAACATTTTACTAGGAAGTTAGTCGCTATGCAGTAAAAAGACAACTTTATGGGGTAGTAGAAAATCTTGATCACGTGCTAATGTGAAAACTTTTTAATGGAAGCTCAAGTCAAAATTATTCATTTTGACAATAGTCATGAATATTAAAAATACAGGTTGAGCCTATTGTGGTAGGTATAGATATTATTAGATTAAAGAAATTAATTGATATGACTACTTAAATGACACACTTAAATCAGACCTGCAGAGTACAATGTCAAAGTACAAAACACTTATGGTTCTGGAAGACAACTTCAACAAGAGTTTGATCGTTTTAGATGAGAAAAACTAATGAATCAACAAGGGAAGATGCCAAGATACAACCATATTTCACATTCAGCACCTGAAATAAAACAGCAAATGAAAAGATTGTTCTACAATGTTGTCCCATTTAAATTATCTTAAAGTAAGAAAAATAGTGACACAAGTAAAAGATCTTTACTGATATGCATCACTTTTAAGCATTAGGCTGAGTTTGTTTTTACACAGCACCGACATAGAAGAATACGCAGAAGTACCTATTTCTTTTAATACTGCATTGGATTGAATATATCTACAGAAATAGTTGTTACTATAGTTGTGACATTGTTTTTTAAGAAATGATTCCTTCAAATATATAGCATTTTATCTAATTAAATTTAATACCAATTTCCCTTTTAAAATTTTTTAATAAATTTAAGCAGTATTAAATCATAGAAATTTTTGAAACTTTTTTAATGTAACACATATTTAAAATGATTTTTAAATTTTTTGCACATAAAATAAATTTTTATGTTACTATGATGCAAGTAATAATCTACACACTTCACATGGTCATTCTAGTATTATACATATTAATGAGTTCAAAAATATCTGATTCAAATATGGTATATAGTACATTATTAGAATCAACAACTAGAACTCCTTTTTACATTATATAAAGTAAAAGGTAATTTACCACCTGAAATTACGTACTAATAGCTATGCCTGGTTAGATCTTCTACTTCTGCGAGAAGAACTTGCAAATAATGGACGTGGTTTGTATAAGTCATCACTTGAATAACGCTGACTGCTTCTATGCCGGCTGCAATTACATAACAGACTAGTTACATCATGTATAGTGACAACAGATTCATATTTCAAACAATGTAATGTTACTGCTACGAAAAAGAAGTATGTACAATTCTTTATATTGTATACTGTACATACTTTGTTCTTCACAGAGATTTAGAATTCAACAGTTTCACACCAATAAAAAAAAGTTCAAGATATCAAATATTTTTAAATCGGTATATATACAAATATAACATTTGTATATACACACACAATTGTTATAATACAAAAAAAAAAAAACATTTATTGAATTATGTATATAGAAATTCAAATTTGCCTAGGGTACAAGAACTTTGGAAGAAACATGTTACGTACCCTTTATCTTCTTTAATTAGATTCGATGATGGTATTTTTTCACTGGTCGCGGACACATCACTTTCTGGGCTTAGAGGCATAACAAAATTTTCTCCATTTAATAGTCCTTGCGGAGCACATGTGTTTGCTTGTAGCCTTTGCTTTTTAGGTCCAAGAAGTTTCCTTTTCTTCATACTATTCAAAACATCTTCATTCGGTATGTTTAGTACTTTTTTATGACCATCATTGTTATTATTCGAGTTATTTAACAATATATCCGACAATGGGCTAGTTGAGTGTTTACGTTTTGGTAAAGGAGGTGCCATAGCTTTTGGCATTGAAGATATAACTTGACCTCCTAAGCTCTCTATTATGTCTTCTAAGGAACTATTTTCCACTAATTCCAGAGATTCTAAGAAATTAGAGAATTTTTCAGATTTTTCATTGTCCGCTTTGAAATAACGGCAATCTTCATTGTCCTCAGTCAAGATACATTCTGTAGTCCGAAATTCATTCTTAACACGCGTCAGATAATTTTCTTCAGTTATGCCTGTGCATACCTTAGAATAGCTATTATTTTGAACAGCTTGACAATTGTCTTCATATCTAGATGCTGACATTGTAGGTATTTCTATCTCTTTTTCGTCTTTTAAACGATTTGTGTTGTGTACTATAGCTTTCGATGTATTTGGCTGATTTGTTACTTTTTCTTTACTATTTTCTTCAGTAATACTACATGAAGAATTTCCTTCTTGACAAGTTACACTTTTTTCTAGTTTAAATGTGCTAACTTCTTGCCTCACTTCCTTTTTTTCAGAATGCATGCCTATGAGGTCGTGTGCCCTTTGTGACTCTAGTATATTGCTTTTTGTTGTTTCTCTCATTGTTGATGGAGACTTTTCATTTTGTAAATCGTTCTTGTTTTCATTATTGGAGGTACCAGTTTGCACATTGGTAGTTGCTTGCTGTAGAGATACCTTTTCTAATATTTTCGTGGGAAGTGTTTCACATAATGATTTCTGTATGCATAGTTCCATATCGGACAATTTTATTTTCAAATCAGAGTGTACTTCTAATAAATCCTTTGCAACTGCTTCACTCTGTAACATCATTATTGATCTTTCTTCTAATGTTAAATGAGTATAGTTTTCAGGATACGGTTCTTCGTACTCCTCATCTGGTATCTCTATTATTTGAACACGTTCCTCATCTGGTACACTTTCAAAGTTATCATTATTTACGGAACTCGACTGTACCGAAGGTTCTACTTTCTGTTGAAGTTTCTTCTCTATCTTTTTATTTTCTTTGAGCTTCTGCTTCCCTATTTGCTTTCGAATTTTCATTAATTTCTTAGCTTCATGTATGTTCTTTGCAAATTTTGGTTTCTTCACTCTCACTTCTGAAGTATTGTTAACATCGGTAAGTAATGGTCGTTTCTTCAATGGTAAGTTAACATCATTGGATTCTGATTCCTGCTTAACATGCACTTCGTAAGTACTGCTATTATCTGTTTTGTACTCTACATGATCCAATTTATAATCTGGTTGCTCTAATGGTAATTTTAAATCATTTGTATGTATTTCTTCTATATTGTCCGATGTTTCACTACCAGAATTGCTCATATGATTTGATTCTTTGGATAAGGTTGATGTACTTGATTTATTACCACCACTACTAGAACTAGAATTACTAGATTGTGAACTTTTACTACTAGACCCATTTGAACCATCCCTATCAGTTGATCGCCGATCATTAGAGTTCTTTCTTAAACTAGAATGATCATCTTTCGATTTCGATTTTTTCTCTTCCCTCCGCTTCTTGTCTTTGTTTTGGGAATCATTCTTACTCTCTTTTTTGTTATCGAATTTTTCATTTCGTGTTGAACTTTTATTTTGTATATGATTCTTTATATCTTTTTTACCATTTACCTTTTCATTGCTCGATTTAATATCTTTTTTAATTTCAGACTTCTCAGCTTTTTCATCCTTTTCATTTTTACTAATTTTCTTTACATCTTGTTTCTCTAATTTTTCAGTCGACTCTGTCTTAGTACTTATATGATTTTTTGACTTTATATCTTTCGAACTACGTCTTTCATCTCGTTTAATTTTATCTTTTGATTCAATTCGTTTTTCTTTTCCATCAACCTTGTCTGATGATTTAATAGTTTTAATTTCATTAGAGGTCAACGAAGAACTTTTGGAAGAAGAACTTTTATGATCTTTTTTATAAACTTTTTTATCTTTTGGTGAATCTTTTTTATCTTTATTTTCTTTGTTCGATTTTGCTTCTTTGTTATCTTTATTTAACTTTTCTTTTTCTGTTAATTCTTTCTTCTCCCTAAGTTCTCTAATTTTTTCTTTGTAGAGATCTTTTAAATCCTTTCCTTCTTTACTAACGCTATCTTTTTTGTCTATTTCTTTCATTTTGTCTTCTTTTACTTTAGTGTAGCTATCCCTTTCTGAATCTTTGGTTCTATCAATACCATCTTTCGGTTGATCACCTTTCTCTTTAGACTTACTCTTGTCGTATTTATCATACTTTGTACTGTTGTGACTTCTTTGTTTCTTTTTGTCGCTACTTCTATCTCTATGATGTCTTCCATCTTTTGTGTGGTTCTTATCTCTCGATTTTGATTTAGATTCACTGTCCCGGCTTCTCTCTCTATGCTTATGTTCGTACTTATCTTTTACGCTACTATCAGTAGCATCACGAGAATTTTCTTTAGATGATAAACTGTATCTACTACTTTTAGAATCTTTAATATCTTGTACATCTTTACCTTTATTTAATTCAAAAATATTTTTACTTTTATTTTTACTAGAATCATATTCTCTGACAGCTTTAAAATTGTCTTTAACATTTTTTACATCACACTTATCTTTATTGACTTCCTCTTTAAGTGCATCATGTATTGGCGTTGATGCATGATTTGAAGATCCAAAGTCTGTCACAATAGACAATCGAGAGTCAGAAGATACTTTGCTTAGTTGTGAATCTTGATTGCTATAATCAAAATTATCCCTTGACAATTCATTACAAAAATCGGGACTTCTAGATCGATGGCTAGTTAATTCCGATATTCCTGATAAATGTGAATCATTGGACAGATTAGATTCATTTAAATTCATAATATCTATTGGTTCAAAGGTAGGACTATCTTCTTCCTCCTCTTCTGTTTTATCATCCGACTTTCCAGATGTATTTAAATTTAAATTACTATCAGTCTTATGAAGATTTTTAACACTTTCGAATAATGTCTTCTCCTCTGATGAAATTTGTCCATTCTCCAAATCATTATCTCTATTTTTTTCATTAGAAGTCTCATCTTCTTGTAAGCTTTCTTCATGAGATAACTTTTCATCTTTCTTTGCCTCTAAATCTTCCATTGCATCCACAGACTCTAAGGACACATCCTTCAAACTATTTTTATCAGATTCCGGTGAAACAGGATCCAAGTCCTTAGGTAATAAGTCTTTAAGGCCACAAGCACCATTTTTTTCTTTTGTTTTGGGTCTTTCTAAGCCAAGAAATTTATAAACTACATCCTCAATCTGTGACATAAAAACAGAATATACTTTTGGGTTCACTACTTGATCCACTATACGCTCTACACCAGCATCCAAGTAAGGAGCGTCATGTATATGTTTGCGTAAAGTTTCTCGCAGCTGATTCTTGTTTAAATCTGGTTTCCATGACTGTTTGCTAAGGAAGGAATTTACAGATCCTTCAACTCTTGTACGTAAATTCTGATATGCTGGCTGTAATAAAAGTGATTCGAATGATAAATGAAAGCAGTTTCATAAAATTAATCTCTATAAACATACATTTTCTGATAGATATTCAATTTTCATTTAAAATGTTAGATATTGAATACAGACATAAGAAACTTATTTTGTACAATGTATACAATAATTTATAATTTCTTAGTAAGCATATAACATGTAAGTATTATTTTAAGAACATGTAAATGTTTTTGCAATGATTTCAAATGTTACTGAATGATAAAATAGTCGTTGAAAAATATATATCATACCTTTGTATCAACATCAGCGATACATTCTTTACGAAATTGATCGAAAATCCCTTGAGACTTAACTTCCCCGACGATGTGATCGACTAATCGTGGATCACCCGCCAACAACGTATTAGATAAGCCCAACTCCATGCTAATCAAGGTACGTAAAACAATGATAATTCACTTGAACACTAAACAATTACTCATTTTCATTGCTGAAGACATCCCATTACAAACAGTACGCAGCCATAGTCATACTCCTCTGGCTATACGCTAGCTAGGTTAAACGTTGTATCTGTGTGCGTAAATGAATAATAATCAGTGATGCCAATCGTTTTGCTTTCTTATTTACAAGACCAGCAGTATTAAACATCCAATAGATGTTGAGTCAGTAAATATGTAGATCGTTTTATTTTATACGGATATAAATAGAATTAAAACCACCAGGATAAACGACTACTTTTTTAAGTACTTTACATATTAATAGTTTTGGTAAGTTCTATATAAAATACAGACCTCACTAAACTTTTCAGCGGTGACGCTGTGTCAATGATCGTTCCTGTGTACATAAACATTGTTTGCAAAATTAGGTCGAATTAATGGGATTCTTTTATTTCTTTGTGATATATTAGCATTTAGCATATTCCGTGTTCCATCATAGTTGGAACTCTGGTTGGTAGCACTGGTGCATCTCTAAAGAAGTGACATTTAAAACACTATGATGTTTAAACTATACATTGCACACATAATATTTTATTATTATAAGTGTTATTACAAGTAAAGTTATTATATTGTTAACAATATTTGATGTCGCATTGTTAATCATAGCTCAGACGGTAACCACTTGTTCAAAAAGACATTTGTAAGTTGTTTATTATTACGATTCATAATATCTAATGGCATGTAAATATATAATTGACTAATTATAGAAACAAATTATCACGTTCCCGTAAAAACGCAAGAACAAGAATTATATTTTTCAAACTATAAATAATATTATAATTGCATCCAGCTTCATTGTATATTAAAAATTATATTTGAGTTTCAAATCGAAATTGTGGCGGGAAGGGGACCTTCTCACATACCGAACCACCAATCACCATTCTCGTAAAATATTCGAATCCACCAATCGTGACCAATCAGAGACAAATTAAGGGTTATTCGTCTCCGGGAAATTGGAGTGATAAGACGTAAATGAAGTTTGCTCGTGTCGAAGTACGTGATATTTACTATTCATGTATACTCATTTACACGAATTGTTAGTTCCAATACTTTCATGAGCTCTTTATCGCTACTTTCCTTTAATATTTATCCAATTTAGATAACATAATTTTACGTTAATTCGATATCGCGGGTGAGGGTAAACAGGATCTCCGCGCTTCCGTTATCCACTTTGTATTAATTAGTATTTCCACAGTTATCCTTCAAATTGCAACTTTAGGCGACACCCCTCGAATCAATAATTGTTTATTTCTGACTCAGCCATTGTTAATTCACTGTAATTACTTGAAATTAATGTTTATTTTTTGTTTCAGAATTTCGGCTGAAAAGAACGCGCTATCAACGCCATGACCGTTGACTCTTTCTTTAAACATAATTCGGTGGGAACTTGGTGAACTCTGGTGAGTCATTATAAAAAATATCTGACACTTCACTATATATTTTCATTTTACTATGTTTTTATTGTTTCTGACCGTAAGCGCATGATCACGATTTCGTGATTTATTATGCTAAAATCGAAGAAGAATTCTTTCGAGAAATATTTTGAATTTAAATGGGTAGTCGAAGTATCCAATAATGGCTTCCTTGACCGTTAGAAAATTTAAACGACACACTTTCAGACATTCAAATTGGAAATATTCGCTATTTACTGTAGCCTGGTCGCGAAATTGTTGTCATACCGATAATTTGACGTGTCTGTCGTTATGACGACATTATATTTATATACAGTTTCGGTTGCATGTTTAATTACATAGGACATAGGGCATAGGAGATGCGAATCACGAGTAAATAATGAAATTTGGTAATTGAAATGAATTTTTGCTTATTTACAAGAAGTAGGACCATAGTTTAGACAGAAAAACGAACATGTTTACAGCTCTAACAGCGAATGTCATTAATATAATATATTAGTATTAAATATTCAGATATGAATAATGAACATAATCTATTCGTAAGCAGTGAAACTATTCTATGTATACTATATATACTATACTTGTGTGTAGTTAATGCCATATTTGTATGTTCAAGCTCGTATTTATCGTTGAATTTGTTTCTTTTTTCTCCAATTTGTCATACCTTGCATTATTTGAACATAAATTTGTTTCTGCGTTGCGTTTAGTTTAAGTTGTGGAGTGTGTGTGGTATGAGAGTATTAAGATTTAAGTTTATTATAATAAGACGAATTTGTAAAACGTGAGAATGGATATGCCACTTTTGATTTCATCTATCTTCCTCGGGTCTTCATTTGCAGCAACCTCCACGTGGTGAGACTCGGGCAATTCGGTATTCGGTTGTTTTGTAAACCGAGGACCATACCGAACTAATGGCTGCGACTGTAACATCTAATAAATTTAAGTAACAAGCTATTATTAATTCACTTTGCTCGTGAATTTTCTACACACACTTGGGATGCGGTATTGGTCCGTATACTTAGACTTTTTCGGTCTTTCTGAATTATATTGAGAATCCATACACCGGTCATGTTTTGGCTTTGCCTGGAAATTAGTACATTTGGAAGGGAGATTTGTAACAACAAAGCATGACTGAAATTCTTTTATTTGGTAATCCTTTATTCTACTGTACAGTGTTATAGTATCTTGTTTTGCCATTTGTATATATACAAATCTGTTATACGACGGTCGTTTTGTAAAAGATCCTATACGGTACATCAAGCTGTGTAATTTCTCACTTATATACAAGTTTCGTAGAGTAACGGTTTTTTTCAATGAGGAACAATCGAGCATAGATCGTGATCAAACGGTCATGTTTTAAGAATTTCAATTAAAGCCTACATACAAACAATCCCCAAATGAGTATTAGAAATCGGCGCATGTGAAAGTCATGTAGAAATATATAATAACGAAACTGTCGTTTTTCCGATTTATACTTTTGTGTCAATTATTTCTTGCAATCATTTCATATTAATTTTCCTCGAATTAGACTTTGACAGAGATGAGAACAAAAACTCGTTTCAGTGTTATTAAGAATCTATGGATCATTTCTAGCATTTAATTTTGTTTCGACATTAAGTTAATTTGTGTTCCATCAATTCTGCGCAAATATAATTTATTATAAATTATGAAATAACGTCAAAATTTCCAATTGCAATGAAGTTGTCTTATCACGGTAGAAGTAGAAATTAAAATAATTATTGTCACTTGATACAATAACATGTATAAATTTCTCGAGATTTCGACATGACAACACAGGGCACTAATGAAATATAATACAAAATAATAAAATGCAACGCATCGCTCATCAGTCTAAAACGATCACAATATACGTTCTGTGATTATCTAAAATAACATTTTCCACACTGATTTGCTGCTTTTTATATAGAGCATTACAGTTTAAAACGATGAAATGTAGAATAATTACGTTAAAAAAAAAACAAAACAGTTACATCACATTCTTCTAAAAACCTAGGTAGAAGAACTCAACCAGATCATTACACGAGTATTATTATTTTTGCTAACATTATGCAGCAACGTAGTCGTTGAACAACTGTATTTTTAGGTATAGACTTGAATGTTAGAAAAATAACTAATGATAAGCCAACAACATTTTCGCTCCTTTTCCTCTTCAACGAAATTGCTTTTCATATGTTAGCACACAGCTTTCCATTCACGGTTCGTTCACGAAAGAAATCAGTTAATTCCTGATATAACATTTCTATAAATCTCAAAATTTATGCGTGTTACTTTATGTTAAATAAAGAAAGTAAAAGACGCTTTTAGTAAACAAGCAACGTGTTAACAGAAACTAGGATTTAAACTTTCCACCCACAAATTGATCCAACTTGCAAAGGAGTAAGTATCTGTTAACAATATGGATACAGTGAATACACACGTTGAGCACGTATAAATGGAGATAAAAGTATAACTTTTGTCTAAATACTTGATCTTTCTTTGGATACTTTGTACAAATAAATTGTGGAAAGAAAGGAAATTCCTCTTTTAGCTACGAACAATATAACAAGTTTCAGAAGTAGCTAATCTACATTCAAGTATTAACACTTTTCTGCTTGGAAAGCTATTAATAGGCTTTTTGATTTCAGTTCTAATCAACAGTAAATAATAATAAAAATTAAAGAAAGAATTGTTACGTTGTACCACTCTGGTTGCCTTGGTTACTTTACGATTGTAATTTGAAGGAATTATTAATATGTTCTTTTTTATTAATCGTTGGGTTTAAAAAGCCTAATAGATAGCCCTCGGTAAGTATAGTGTTAAAAGTGCCACAATGGAAGGTACGGAAAAAGTTAAACTATTTTAAAACCGGAAGCCTCATTCGCATTGTAATCTTACGAGGGGCGGACAATAATATAAGGGTTTTGTAATACGTCGACAGAATGATTCCTACCTATAGGATGTGTCATTAAACGTGAAATATTAGCAGTAAAATTGTACTCTGATAGCTGTATCCGCGAAACACTGGTAGCATCGTCGTGTTCCACCGATTATAAAGTACCATAAAACGTTGACGGACAAACGGTACCCACTGTCACATATAACTTGCACGTTAAAAACGAACGACCACGCTTCCAGAGTGTTGTAATAAACGATTACGTTATTTGGTCCATATTTGCAATACGCACGCACTCTCGAATGTTTCTCGTCATGTGTTACACCGTTTCAGTGTTCGTTTGAGCTATAATACATCGGTCGGATATTCAATCTCGTCGAGAAGAGTATTACGAAACGCAGGGAACGACTTGATCGAAGAGAAACTATGAAACCGGATTAACGTTTCCTAATTTCAGTTACACTTAAAAACTTAAAAAGACACAATTAAATATCTTTCAACTAACAAAAATAAAAATCTCCGGACTATTATGTACAATTTCGTAAAACGGGATATATTATGCAACGGTGTAAGCGTTTGTTCATAAATTGAGCAAACAACGTATGGAAATTGAGAACTATTATACAGTGTATGAAACTGCTTCTGATTCGGGAGTAATTTTACGTAAATCTTCTCTATGCTATTTTCAGCAGATTCTATTTTATTGCTTTTATTGTTCAATTGAAATAATTAATACCGAAACATAAAAATGATGGTCATTGTTTGTCTTCTAGGTAATAGCGGCGACATACGTTGTTTGCACCTCCCTTAAATGTCTGCTTACTAAAGAGATTGTAAAAACTAAACACTTAATAATAATGATGTTATTAACAATACTAATAGTAGTAACTAATAGGATCACATCTTTGGTACACGATTTGTCAATTTCAACACTATTGGCTCCGTATTAATACCTACGGCAAGATGGGTCGAATTAAATTCATCTTTGAGTCGAACTCTTATACTCATTAATATCATAAGCATTTAGAGAAGAGCAGTATCTATGTTTTCGTTATCACTCACGTATCAACTTCTCGTCAAATAATTTGTCATCTAAAAACGACTATTTTACAGTTCTGTAACAGTCTTCATTTGCGTTATTAAATTCCTCTTTAGTTCCTTAATATTAGATTTTAGAAAGTTCCTCATTTCTTCAATATAACTCTCATTTTTTTCTTCGCTTTGTATTATTTAGAATTTGGTAAGTTGTGCTGCTTCAGAGAAACATATCCCATGAAAGTAGATTATTAAAGAACCATGACATAAAATAATGCATTACGACATTATTATTGATTATTGTTTAAATGTCTTACCTAATCAAGCGGAATGTCATTTTGTAAATTAACATATACTGGAAATTCCGTGAGTCAGACTCTTTTCGAGAACAATGTGGAACTCGCACAATGGTTCAAGAATATGAATGAGAAAATTTAGTAAGGTAGGATTTCTTAGAAACGAATTTTCTTCATACATATCTGCTGTAGAACGTGCTTCACTCATTGGTCGCAGCATCGAATGAAGAAGTTGCTCCCTAACATGTAGATTAGCAATTATGAAGTAGAAGCATTCAACGTATAGGACATGTGAAGTTACAATTTACCTCGCTGCCAAGCAGATGAACAATTGAAACTTCCCGTCTTTACCTAGGGTCTGACTGAACATGTTAATCTGATCGATAAGGTGACAGTAACATCTTAAAGTTGTAAACCTTTGATTACTCCCTGCGCGAGCTCGCCTATCTCTGTTCAACCTTTGCGAATATTCATCCATCTCTTCCAATAGTGAAATCTCAAAATTTTCCTTGATACGCACTGAAAGAGATTATATTGATAAATAAATGGCATAATGTAGAGAGTAATGAAACGAATCGATTACTACTGATGAAATGAAAATCTACTGAAGTCACGAGACCGTGAAAAATGACATACATAGATAGTCCCAAACGTAAAAGTTTCTTCCAAATATCCTCTGGTTCTTGAATCCGAATAAAAATATTTGTTCTAACGATGGCACAAGACCACCTTCTCCGCAGAGTAAAGCTGTCAGAGAACCATCTTGGCACTCTCTTCTGTAGTGAAATTTAACAATTGCATTTACAGCTTCTCCTATAAAGAGAAAAACAAAATTGCAGAAAGTCATCATCTATGAAAGATCCAATAACATTAATGGTATTGTAGCAGAATTATTGTGGACACTAATACGAGGTGAGAATTCTTGTTAGATAATGATTCAAGGATTATTGTTTTTAGAATTAAAATTTGTAGAAAGTTAATAGTCGATTAAAAATTGAAATTTGCTAGTATTTACCCAACATATGCTGAAGTTCAACTTGAGACAGTATCGGGCGCCTGGGTATGCTAGGTGATCTACATCTTGGCGGCGTTGAACATGATTCAACTAATTCTTCACTGTCAATGCTACGAGGTACCAAGGCACCCACCAGTAATCTTTCAGTAGAGCCATCGTCAATACCTCTGCCAAGCCACCTACCGCATGGAAATTTGAACGTATGTCCTGTTACTTCATTTCTCACCACGACGTGCTCTACCATCCATTTAGGGGACAGACCTGTATTGTCATGTCCTATGCGTAACGTAGAGAGAACACCTAAATTTTTATGCTAAAATAAAAATTACAAAGCTTGTTAAGGGTTCAATATTTATGTTCAATTTCGCAATTCAAAGTACAGTATGACAATTGAAATAAAAGTAAGTAGAGACACATACGTGAAATAAAAATTCCAATGCTCCTCTGGGTATAGGAACCGGATTCGTTTCGCACAGACTGCCCGAGATAGCGATCCAGCTATTTGCTGAAGTAGTAGCTGCACTCGCCTTACGACTAGGAAATATAACAACCCTATATGGCAATTTGGTTGTTGGATAGTTGTTAGTAAAACAGAAATAATCAACTGCATTCAATGTCAACAGATGGTACAAGAATTGTTCTTTCTCTTCTTCGCAACGCAGAAACGCTGAACGCTTATATTGGCTCCTGAAAAATGACAATATACATTATTATACGCATGTGGTTTATACAGATTCATTTAAATAAACAAAGTACGGGGTATTATTTGAAATAAGGATCTTCAAACTATAGTCTGTTGATCTGATCCAGCAAAAAGGATTCTTATCAACCAGTTTTGGTTTCAGATAATTTGAGTATAACACATGAAATTTAAGTATATTTAATTTATCTTAAAATACCTTAATAAAGTGGTGTCCGATAATAAGGTTTTTAAATGGCGAGAAAGAAGTTTCTTCTCCAGTGCTAACCGAACCCATGCTCTAGCATATCCAATATGGGTCTTGATGTCCGTCATCGCTTGGACGTTTCTAATATCAAAGAGCAAAGAATCAGGTAAAGGCCTCAGATGTTCTGGACCGATCTTTCTGTCACCAGGGGATTTATGTCTGTCTGTCCCTCGCGTAGGTGAAACGTCAGTTTCCAATGCCAGATTCGATAAATCTGTTATTATTCAGAAATATAAAATTAGATTTGGAAAACGTAGAAAAATATTCTTGTAAATCCATGCACATGGTGGGCATGCTTTAGACAAAAACTAAATCAAGACACACTGTAGACAATGTAACTGAGGCATTCCATGTACGAAATACGTTTTCTTATTTAAATGGTATCCGTAATCGCATGCTGATTATGTAACTACCAAAACTGCATCTACTGATACCATTCGTAATATGTAACTTAAAGACAATAATACTAACATTAATACATATAGTTTCACAAAATTTTGTCAAACCATCAAAAATAATAATGCATTCATGCAGTTCACTGACAATTATAAGAAAACGCAATGGCATTATACGAAAGATTATTGTTAAATACCACGCTAACTGAACGCTTATTCTGGCAAGCCAATAACAAGGCTTACCATTAAAATTCTCCTTGATATAAGAAGCAATTTCAAAAATATTTCTGCCCTTAAACGATGAAATTAAACGGTCCGGTAATCCAAAAAATTTATTTGGAGGTTTCTTGGCTATTTATAACAAGAAATGAAACAGAAAAAATTAACTGAAAAAGAAAGGTTGTTCTATGTTTAATACAGTGGTGCAACTTAAAACTTTGTTTAATTCTCAACTGCTTATAAATTAGAGAAAACGGTTTACTACTAATTCATATATTTGCACCACTGTAAACAAAGAACAGTATAATACAAAATATATGGTAAATTATAATGAAGGGATCGATTAAGAAATTTACATGTAGAATTGATTTAAACAAAATAAATAGAACGGATGCAAAAACATTTCTAATTACATGAACTCGTGTATAAAATACTTCATCTGTGAAAAATATGTCTGAAAGGAAAATACTGCATTCAAAACATTTGACTTTAATAAAAAAGAGCAGCCAGTATATACATATATTATGTACGTATATGTTGTGCAATCTCAGCGAAAAGCATATAGAGAGAGAGAGAGAGAGAGAGTCATAAACTGTTTATCAATAATGGGTCACTTACAACTAATACAGTGCAGAGTATCTACGTATGAGAAACTAATCTCTACTTTTAACATGTTATTTTAAATAAAATAAGGCACGTACAATCGAGTCGTTTCCGTAGCACGCACCACGCTAGCGCTGAATTACCAAATGTGATAAAATGTATTAGGTATCGTGATTTCGAAAATGAAGCACAATTATATACGTAATTATAACAATACATCGAGTTCCACACATAACTATCAACTTACCAGGAGAGAGAAAATTAGGATCTATGGATTTAGTCGCGTCGTTACATTCTTCCAATTCTTGGTACATGGTGAGGTGTGACCATAGAGCACTTTTCCCTTGCTTATTTTGCAATCCATGACTCCAAACTCGTTCCAAGAGATCACAGAGACTGGCGACTAGAGTATTTTCTTCTACGTCAGACAACGACTCTCCTCCATGGCCCAATGCAACAGCTTCAGATCCCATTTTTTCGACCAACATCCTCTTTGTCTTTGACTTACAGTCCTTGACAAAAGAACATGTATGTTTATAGTAGAAATATTCTTTTATATATCTAGCATAATTTTTTGATTTCTTTCATTTTTTCTTCATCATTTATTTTTTATTAAATTAGTGTAATACCTTGAGCAACTTTTCAACAAATGTCCAGTTGGCTTGGGCTATAAGTGCTGGACTCATGTCCGCAGATAGCTTAGTTTGCGGCCTGGGTGACTGAGTTTCTTGTGGCGCAGTCGGTTTCCCATTCGCCTCCATCGATTTCATTTTGTACTTCCATTGGGTCTGTCCCCTCCGACTACTATTATCAACAAATGATAAAACATTATTAAAAGTAGTACAGACAGGAAATAAGTATAAACCACAAATATTTAAGTACAAAAAATAGTAAAAAGGAATTGTACAAGACAAATAATTATATTCTTCAAAATGGAAGTAAGTATACTGCTTAAATTTTGACTGATACGTAGTATACAGTTGTAATATAAATATTCATGCAGAGTGTTATTCAAATTCTTACCGTAGTATGCTACATATGAAGCAGGAAATCAGATAGTAAATGTTAGTATTTTATTGTTTAATATACAATGAAATATTTTTGCATGTAATATGTACCTCTGAGCCGGTTCCTTATTTAATGCAACCGTATCTAACAATGGAAAACTTCGAAAATATGCTGCCCTATGAGGGAGCATCTCAGTCGGTGGATTCGTTTCGAAATCCACATTTGTTAATCTTTGCTCCAACACTTTCTGTGACTCTTCTATATTTGTACAAGGTTCATAACGCGTTGATCGTACGATGGCTTCCCCAACTTTCTTTCTGTAATGATTAGAATAAACGTGACAACGAACGAATTATTCGGTACAAGCGACGTCCTGTTTGATTGCACCGACCTCAAGAGGGAAATCCTTTGATCGAAAACTCGGATATTAAAATCAAGTTCACTCCACGTTGACATAACTTTACTGTCCACCAGAGATGCAAACATCTGTGTCTCTAAGAATCTCGACAGAAATGGCAAATGCTGCGTGGGTTGATCAGATAAAAATGTGGCCTTATCAAACACATGCATACTGTCCCTGTTATTTAACCATTCATCTTTGTCCTGTAATACCAAAATATTTTTTTTATTCTTGCAACATGATTACGAGAATGTGAATATTTATACAAATATAAATTGTCATGGAAGAAATTTGTTCATTCTTGTGTGAGTTCTATTAGCTTTGCTAATTTACTAAAAAATCTCATTAAATATTATATTTATTGTATCGACAATGAGTCTTAGTCACTTATATATGTTATAAATGCATAAAATCCGCAGTCTAATGCTTAGTGGATGATATATATCTGAATACTGATTCATACCTGACTTGGTTGGATAACAAAGTGTTCGTAACTAGAAAAAATCTGTACAAAACGGTTCAAAAAAGTTTCCCTAATGGCATTATTAAACATAAGCGTCTCCTGATACTCCTCTTGCGCTGTTAATATTCTTTCCTTTACGTTGTCCTCTATCGAGTCAATGTCATCTACGTTAACCGCTGTAGTAGGGATCGACAATCAATTAGTTAGCATTGTAGGCGTTCAATTTAAGAATGTAAATTACATATTCACCTGTCCGTTTAACAATGTCTACTATTCTTTGTAAAGTTTCCGATTGCGGCGTGGGTTCGGGTCGATCCCAATCCAGAACGTCGTGTAACGAATGTTTTCTACGAGGAAGATGAAATCCCGATCCGGGAAGCGTCAAACTACTAGTCATGATGTCGCCATTGTAATGATTGATGACCATGTTGTCAGTCCTATGAAACATTTCAATAGTCAGTACTTATACAAAGTAGTAGATTCACACTGGAAAGAATAATCATTCGTCAACTTACTTTCCTGAGTATGGTACTTTGTACTTGTTTAACAGAGCTCTAATTTCAGCAATGAATTGCATCTTGTGAGGAAACACAGGTAATTCTTCTGGAAATTGGCTACTTTGTTTATCTATATCTACATAACAAAGATTTGCCTGCAATAAAAAAAAAGCAAAGAATAATGTAACTTTCAAACCAATTATAGAGAAGCCTAACAGAAATAATTTCGATTCTGATCAAGTAAATGTTCGAAAAATCTATCTTGTCTTTTTGGAAATTAGATTCCCCTAGCAATGTCTTTTCTCAATGTCAATTCGCTAAACAATCGGTTAAACAGAATAGGAATAAGAGGTGATCCACTCGTTTCTAACTTGCTCGTTTAAGTCCTACATTCATGGAACCAGAAAATATGTATCTGGCGTCTATCGATTGAAAAGCAAACACACTCACTTCGCTAGCAATTTTCAGTACGCCGCCCTCGTTCTGAACATGGAGACCCATTATGAACGGTACCGGCGCGTCCAAGAAGTGATGCAGACTGGCGGGCAATATGGGCACGTACACATGCTGCCAGGAAAATGGGAAGAGAAGCGCCGTTATGCACTCGGATACCACCATCAGCTTGTGGAAATCTGAGCTGCGGAGCAACACTTGGTTCTCTAACAGGACGCATGTGAATAGCTGAATCACGCAGTCCGCGCCAAGCCATGTGAACACGTCTTTTAGAGGATAATCTAGCATCGGTAGTTCCTGCAATGGTGTCGGATGATGTATGACCAGTTCCAACGGTGATTTCGCTGGCTCCTCGTTGGGTACGAAGAACTTTAGCGATTTTCCGGGCAATGGTACCGGTACGTTGTAAAGGAGATTGTACACGTAGGACTCTAAGCTAAGACCAGGCCCTGGGTGTCTAGGAACACATCTGAAACAGACGACGTGGTTTATTTTTCTTGCCGAGCGAACGGAGTGTCAATGAACTTCGAGGCCAGGTGATATTATTCAAATAAATACAGAGTAAAAGTATTCAACTGGTGTAAGTAGATTAATCTTGTTGGGGATATAAGCCACCTGCTTCACTGATGAAAACAGACCTGATGATCAAGTAAAACTTAAGCTTTGGTGATCTTTTAGCGTCATGTCTGATTCAATGTTATGATACTCAATTATATTTAATTCATTGAATAGAATTTAAGGTAAAAGCATAAAATGGATTTAGAATACACTTAATCTCCAATTCGCTCATCTTAAAAAAGCAATTTTCTAAAAGAAGAATGAAAATTTAATACCGTCGATTTTACATTGCATTGATCTTGGAATTCTCCCAAGGACAAAACCCTTCAGGTGTATTCTTCGCATTGTGAAAGCCGACGACGACGTAGGCGTTGTTAAGATGAGAATCTAGAGGGTTGCTTACTTGTAGAGATTAGTGAGGAACGTTCTCGCAGCATGAAGGTAAGGCTGCTGGCATAGCAAGGATATCGATTTAGTCACCAGCAACTTGTCTTTGGTAGAGTCGTAGTATCCTAACGCGGCGCTCGGTGAATGTGCTGATAGCTTGAAATGCCGCGGCAACGATCGCGTGTTGTGACCATCTTGTCCTTTTCTTACCCTGAAAAACGGATTTCTTTGAGAACGATTCTCGAAATTATTTAATCGGTATATTTCAACCATAATGGTACGAATCCATATGTTTTCCTTTACATGTATTTATACTATTCAGTACAAAACGTATGAATATTTCACTCGATTCTACAAACATCCATCATTTTCATCAGCTGTTTTCGAAGAATCAATGTCACAGAAAAATGGAATTTCGACCAATTAACGGATACAAAGGAAATATATTGAAAATCGTATACACTGCAGCCTTTCACACTTACGTGGACATGCGTTTTCAGCAAAGTTATATACACTGCGGACACATGTATTTAATAGTGACACACACACACACACAGTAGTCCCCGCTTAATTGACGCAGGCTCAGGTCCGCGTTGCGACAGGTATCGAGGCAGGTAAGATGTCCTAGCGAATTTCTTACTGTCGTCGGATACGCAGTTCCAGGAATTGGTGGGGATAACGTCGCGTCAATTAAGGGGGGAGGGAAAAATACACAACTATTAAGCGGAGACTCACTGTATAGGTTCCAGGACCTATACCAGCTCTCCCCAGAAGACCCATATTCTTTAGCCCTTTCGTCACTTCGTCGGAAACAGTGCAACATCTGCTCAATTTATGTATGTATTAATTGAAATTAATCGAACTTCAGAAAATTCTGAACTAACGCGAAATTTTTACGTGTGACTATAGAGGTTGAGTCACGTAATTGTACCGCTTAAGTTTACTTATAAACTTCTTGTCGCAGAAAAAAACATTTCAATCATACCTTGAGTTTTTAATATAAGACTTACATTAAAGATTGATCAAAGAATATTTCGGTAATTATTAGTTTTTGGTCGCATACGCACCTTAGTAGTTTTTTACTCAGTGCTCAATATTCTTTCGAATCGCAAGGTCAAATATTACACATTATGATACAAAAACTTAAGGACACCTTCGTATCTCGATAAAAAAAGCATAACACAAAAAAAAAATTATCATATTGTATGCCCTGCTCGATATCAAACAACTTTTGTTTGAAACGTTTCTTTATACAACAAGTAGTTTACAAGTAAATTTAGGTAGTACAATTAAGTAACCCACCCTGGTACAGTCACCGTTAGGATACAAGAATCGCACAGCTAGATCGGTGACTGGTATAGTCACCTGTAGTATACCTATAGTCACCCTTAGTAAACGAAAGGGTTAAAGACGTCCTGTGTACAACGTTAAAAACCCACGCAGGAAAATACGCGGGCGTAAAGAGGACTCACGTTGGCGGTGTACCGTTTTGTCCGCTGCTCAGTTCTGTGATGTGCATCGCCTGCAGGGTTTGCATAGCCGCGCATATCTTTCGATTCCGGCACTCCTCGTAGAAAACGAGACTGAACCCGTACGTTCTGTGCCCGTCCTCCTTGGTGAGCACGAACGAGTGGAACATCGGCTCCACAGAGTGTTTCTGGGTACGGAATCTCAGGCCGCTCGGCAGGCAAAGCTGAAAGATTGAATATCCGATGAGACAGAGAGAGAAAGAGATGGTTCCATGCAACAGCAGCAGCCTGCTCCTTCATTTCTTCGTCGCCTCTTTATTTCTCAGTTCTTCTTTTTCATTCGCAACTAGGACAACCTGCACACGTTCTGTTACCGTGTACCGTTGATCGCGACCAGTCGGCTGTGCGCTAAGTCCCCCTACAACCTACGACTTGGAGGAACTCGGGCAAGGGACTCGAAGACCTAGTTACCACGGGGTGTCATCGCGACGATAGGTAGAACTTGGATTATTCGTCGAGTACCGAAGTATAACACTAATGAAAATTCCAGGAAGCGAGGGTAATTATTTTAATGATACAGCTACTTGTACATCAAGAATCTGTTAGAGTAGTTCTTCTTTTAATCATATGGAATTTCATAGGCTTTCGTGGAATTGGTTTTATCGAGTATCTGGCCGTAAAGATTAATCTTGACTCGAGGACCGAAAAATTGTGTCACCTGTATATATGATTTGAGGTTGAGGTAACGACGCAACCGATTGTTTTTGGTTCGAATTCGGCGATGGCATATTATGAGAAAAGCGGATTAAGTAACTAGTACAGAGTATTAATTCAGCGGACTTTCGGTGGAAAGTGTCTAATTACGATTACTGTAACCCAAGAAATTGCGTACCATGCAAACAGCGTGCTCGTCGAAAGGGTTCCATGGGACAGAGTCCGGATAGTGTCCCAGTACTTTGCTCTTGTACGCCCGGTCCAGAGGTGTGCATTGTAACGAGTCCCCTGAAACAGAAGATTTCCCCTTCGTTATGCTCAGTTATCCCTGAAGTTGAACATGATTCAAGTAGAATCTAAATAACAATTTGTTCTAATCTATACGCTTTAGCCGTAGTATTTCTTGTACGACGATTAAGCTACGATTTCTTGTGCACATGTATAATTTTCATGTGCCTCTCGACGATCTTTGAAAAAATCGAGATGATCAGTAGCGACTGTAACCTCCTGACCAGACGCATACACACGTTTTCGTGTGACGTAAATCTCGATCCTTTGAATACACCGTCCGTGGTCCTATCGGAAGATTGAATCAGATAGGGTTTATAAATGTTTCAGACTGCTTGAGAATGCGACGTCCGAAGAGAGACTCGGTTGAACATTGAAATTAGAGGTTCGAGAATAGACTCCCCCTAGAAATGTACATACATATAAGGCGATGGACAGTTGCGGATCTCATTAGAATTTCAATTCTTCACGCAATGAACTTATTTTCAATTGCCTCGCTCTTTCTGCTCTCATTGGAATTCAATCCATAATGTATGATTTTCAACAGTCGTTTAACATGAAGTTTACAAGCGAACGAGAATGATGGATTACACTCGTAAGGATAGCCGTTTCATTGCATTAAGTACGGAAGGAAAATTATTGATAACGCGATTATATACGGACGTGATTCTGTTATCTATTCACTGGTTGGCGGCTTAACTCAGAAACATATAAATATATAAATTAGGAAACAGCATAAAAGTTGAAAATTTTATAATAGCAGGATTCATTCTGTGTCGTTACAGATCTGAAGTGATCGATTTATTCTGATTTGACAGTGATCTCGATTAAAATCGTCAATCTAAAATGGCTCCAACAATTTGATCACTGTAATAACCGTTTATGTGGTTGGTCTCCGCAGCAGAAGGATCAGTCTTATTCCCTATCGTTCATCGCTACACCTCTTCCGCATTGCCAGCAATATGTGACGCAAAGCTGCCCCATGAAGCTGCATATACGGCAATTATAAAAAAAAACATCGTCACTCATCACACACACTTCTTGTTTTAAAAAAAAAAAGACGAAATTCCAAGAGCTGCCTACTTTTCTGTCATACTTGAAACACAAGGCTACCCTCTCAGCTGACCGACTCGAGAATGCATGGACTTCAGAGAGCTCAAGTCGGTCAAACATTACCCGAGAAAAGTGGAATGCGCACGAATTTCAACTACCAAAAGGAAAAAAAAAATGGGATAAAAAGACTCTACCCTAAAAAAGGGAGTTTCTTCAGAAAGAACGCGTTATTAGGGCTAGCGAGGAGGGGGATGTATTCGCAACAGTCCGCGCATTGTTCGTGGGCGCGACGCGGCCTAAGTGCATCTTGGATTCTCGGCGGAAAGGGGGTGGTGTATGGACCACGTCTTCTTCTTTTCTCTGGTAGAAAAAATTAGAATCTTTCTCCACGGCTACGTCGGCAACTTGTTATTGAACGTGGTACATATCCCGGGGCAGCTCGACCTGAATGAGACTGTTGAGGTCTTGGCGACGATCCAAGCTACCCTCCCCCCCCCCATGTCCACGGTGAGCACAAGAGCACCCTTGTGCGGGGTTAATCGTTCATGATCGAACAGCCACCCAAGGAGACGGTGAAATGTGTACGGTGTGTGTGTGGGCTGGTCGATCGGAAATTTCGTTACACGGAAAAATAATTGGCAGCATTCAGGAGCTGTCGTTAGTCTGACTCCCTCCAGGAACATTCTGACACGTGATCGTCTATGGATCTTTATGCAAATTTGAACTTACGAGAAGTGGAATCACATGACTCAACCGAATATATTGCAGTCCTGCGAGTGAAATGTGACCAGTGAAAAATTTTCACTTTATTCCATGAAATATCTTCTAATGTGCAGATCTAGTATTCAGAAGAGTAACATAAGGTAAAGCTTCGATCGAGAAGTGCGTTAGTGTCACTTTGATATATAATAGATATATTCTATTTGCAATGTCCTTGATATTTATGAAGCTGAATAATTTTGAACATTGGACAGATGGTTTCTTCTTATGCACTGTTCGGGTGAATGTGACCCAAACGCAGACTTCGATTTCTAATTATATTTTTTATCAGAGAAACTTGTAAATTAATTCGACACCAGTAGTCTGTATATATTATAATTACTTTTGTCTACATAGGTATATTAATTCGATTTCAGCTTCGAACAAGTTTAATTAAAAAATCAGTAATGCAAAAACTTGTACAGTGCAGGAGGGTTAAAACTGTGGTCGACGAAAAATGGGGAAACAGGTATTTCTTGAATTCTTACGTATAAAATAGACACTGATAATGCCCTCTATTAGTATTGCCAAGACAAATTGCGTCAATATTCGTCATCACGGGACAAAAAATTCCGTTTATATTTAACCAGCCCCAGAAAAGTAGGTGAATTTAATGAAGACTTTTCTTTTTCTTTCGAAACATTTTCACGCTGAGTGATCCTCTGCCTGAGAAGGGAGGTTGAAGGAAGGTGAGGGCGGAGAACGGGACAGCTGATGTACGAGTGCTCTGCAACCCGAGTGACTTCTAGTGGTTGCAGAAAGTAGTCACCTGGATTTAAAGTGCACCTTGCATTTTTCTTCCATTTTTCCAATCCTCGTGACCCTTCTTCAAACGTCATTACTCACGATTCAGCTTCTTCGTGACACATTATTTACGAATCACATTTATTTCTACAATATTTCATCTACATCTGTTATTCAATTCAGGATTTGACCTAATAACAGATCGATGTTAGACGCGACCGCAGTCCCGTTACTAGACTTCATGCCAATTAAATAAGAATTCAATTCCTTCGAGAGTGCAATATTTGTACAAACTTCAAGTTACAATTACAGTCTTTCAAATACTATTTCACAAATATTCGAAATAAAAGATTTCTTTCCTCGAGTGTGTTAATCCTCGTGCACCATTTGGGCCAATTTCACCCGAAATCAAAGTTTAATTTCTAATTATTACATACGAGCACTTAATTTGACAAAAACAATTGTGTCGTAACACCTTTGCTATAAAAGTTGAACGTTCAAGCATCTGCGAAGGGGAAGCAATAGTTAACAAGCAACCCTGTAGATTCGTTACAACCCCCACCCCCGACACGAAACATCTCCGCGACATTTCCATAAATTCTTCCGTCCAGACGACTTTTTTCCCTGCGGTGATGCGTCTTATCGTCTTTTGCCCCACGGTCGAAATATTGCACGTCCGTCTGAACACTCTTGGCATCTTTCCCTGCCGAAATTACCAGGGGGTTGCTGCTGCTACTGCTGCATCGGCCATGACAGTTATCGGCGGCGTTGCAACGCCGTAAAAACCTTTATTTTCTTCAGCTCTGGATCGAGACCCGTGGGTACGTTACGTGACGAGGGTTTCGTTCCTCTTTTTCGATCGTTTCTTTTTTTTCCTACCCTCCCGGGGGGACTTGCTCCCCATCCCCATCGGCGTCATTGCATCTTCCAACCACAATTCGTGCCTGACTGTCCTGGGAGGCATGTCTTGGACAAGCGACTCGGGTCGCGTTTCCGTCGTGTTAATCAAAATCTGTATTGCTTTTGTTTCTGACGGTAACGGTGTGAATTATAACTACAGGGTTATTTCACAAATTCAGAAGTAAATGGTCGCTTTTATTCACCGAGGAGTAGGATAAAATGATCGAATATTGTTTTGAAATATTTTTTGCACTCGTGGTGTAGTAATATAATATCTATATAAAAATATTCGACTGTCTGAAGTAGTTGAATCTTATTTTCCAAATTTAAACCATTGTATAATATAGAAATATGTAGATTAATTATTCCCTTCTGTTATTTGTTACCGAAACAAACACGGCCAATATATCACGTCCACGAAGAAGGAATTAAGGGACCAAATTGAAACTATTTCAGTGGCTCTCGGCGATTGCCAAATTGCACGGCCCATTGGATTATCGTCGTTACTTCGTTCACGGAATTTCCAAGCGGAGATTAGTCCGTGAAACGGCTGATAGCGGCAATTAGAGTCACCGAGTGGACTTAATCTTCTGCCGGTTCCTTCGAATGGAACACAGCAAATATGGCCGAAATCACAATGTCATATTACTCATTTCAATAAATCACTCGTACAATCAAAGACTTAGGTCGAAAAACATATGTATTCTACTATAATCTATTACAGAATTGAATTTCGAAAAACTTTTCATTGCTATATATTTTTAATTTGGTCTGTGGAAAGACATTCACAGACAAGACTTACAAATAGATTGCGGATGTTTATGTATTTATAGTAACTTTTTATATACAAAAGTTAATACAATAAAGACTTCAATAAACCTTAATGATATTTATATATTACTATCAACATAATAACACACCCGGTGTAGAAAATAAATTTCTCTCTCATTTTAATGTTTATAAATTAAAGCTTAAAATTGTGATTTTGCATAAACATTCGCAGTAAAAACATGACAAGTGATCGCACAGGGTGTTAAACTTCGAGGTCTAGAATTGGCACCAGAGTCCGTACGAATACCATTGCCCTCGATGGATCATTTTATAAACAAACGAATTTTTACGGCTAATCTAAGCCCAAGAAGGTTAAGGACGCCACCGACGTCGCCGAAGAGGTGTCACGTTTATTACACTGTCGCTTAGATCGTAGTTAATAAAGTTACAGCCGAAGGAGAAAGCGCCTACCACGGGCTTCCTATGCGCGCTGCACATTATGCACTTCTGTCGTCACCGGGCTTAAGTGGCCGGAGAAAATTGTATGGTGATTTCTTAGTTAAACGATGGGTGCTACCGGTGTCCTGAAACGCGTGCAGAACCTAACACTCGAATAAGTACAATAACGTGTTACATCACCTCTGATCGTCGTAAAATAAAATTATCTATACCTGACAGGGAAGGTAACGTCGTTTATCGATGGTGTGATGACGTTAATAAAAAAATTTTATGAGACAAAATAGGATCTCATAGATTATCCTTATTATAAAAAA